TATCATTGTTTTAAGCCCAAAGTTTAACCTTTTTGTGAGCCCTGTATTCGCTGAGCGTAACTGATCTGCACCTATATTTCCATTTTGCCATCGTAATTTCTCCCCACAATCCCCAGTGGTACATTTGCGCTCGTGGCTGGTGGCGATGCAGTAATACGTGCGTGCACTCCCATCCAATATACATATGCCCAGGGACCGGGCGATGAAGCCGTCCCTTGGGGTGGGAAGTTAATAGCTGGGAGCTTTACCATGTGTAACGTTATGGCGGCAAGTCTTTAGTGGTAAATAATGCAAGCTGATCATTCTACATCTCTCTTTCTCTTACTCTGAGTATGTGCAGGCATCTTTCTCCCCTCCAACAGTCCTTTACGTCCTGGTTTCCTATCGGGCCAGTCTCTCCTTTTTCTATAGAAATATCTCCATAGTATGACATTCTCGTTATAGCTCTATCTGAGAACGCCTTACATCAGTGATTCTAATTTTTTTCTACATAGAGCAAAAGAAAGATTTATCCGGTGCGATATTCCAAAACGTTTGAGAACCCTTTATGCCTAGCACCCTTTATGTCTCATTTGATCGAGCTACCCGTCGGCTTAATCCTAGCCAAACATGGCGCAAGCTCTGGCAATAGCCGACACACTTTAGAACCAAATTATTCACGTTATGAGCGCGTTTGCATTTTTTTTAGCAATCTCATTTTTCCTAACGCCTCATGACAGATAAATCATTGTAGCTTGAAATCTTTTAAGCTACGTTATTCTTATAAATCTGCTTCTGTTTGCTATCCGTCTGCTCTCATAAATCTGCTTCAGTTTGCTGTCTACTCTCATAAATCTGCTATGGTTTGCTGTCTACTCTCATAAATCTGCTTTGGTTTGCTGTCAACTCTCATAAATCTAACTTGGTTTGCCGTCTGCTCTCATAAATCTGCTTCAGTTTGCTGTCTACTCTCATAAATCTACTTCAGTTTGCTGTCTACTCTAATAAATCTGCAATGGTTTGCTATCTACTATCCTAAATCTGCTTTGGTTTGCTGTCAACTCTCATAAATCTGCCTTGGTTTGCCGTCTGCTCTCATAAATCTGCTTCAGTTTGCTGTCTACTCTCATAAATCTACTTCAGTTTGCTGTCTACTCTCATAAATCTGCAATGGTTTGCTATCTACTATCCTAAATCTGCTTTGGTTTGCTGTCAACTCTCATAAATCTGCCTTGGTTTGCAGTCTATTCTCATAAATGTGCTTTTCACAATGTACATTCAGCTCTTGCGTGCAGTGATGAAGCAGTTTGACATGCTATATCACATGTTCGCGGATGACACCCAACTTCAGCAGTCCGTGATCCCCTCTCAGTTCTCTCAGCTTCTTAGTACCACATAGAAGAAAGTGGAGTCAGTTGAGCACTGGATGACTATAAACAAGCTCAAATTGAATGATGAAAAACCTGAGCTGATCCCCATTGCTACCGATCAAAAGCTAAAATCTGTAAATAACACACAAACCCTTACTCTCTCAGGTATACAGATAGAATTTGCTCAAACAGTGCGAAACCTGGGTGTCTATTTAGACAGAACAGTATCAATGGAAAATCACATTAACATGCTTAGCAAGGCGATTTTTCTAGAGCTGCGCAGAATTAGTCATATCAGACCTTTCTTAACATTAGATGCATCAAAGAAGCTCATGTCTGCATTCGTGCTATCACGCATGGACTACTGCAATGCTGTCATGGTGGGTCTTCCAGCTACGCTCCTGGATAAAATTAGAAAAGCACAGAATAATGCGGCTCGCATTGTTCTTTGCAAACGCAAGTTCGACCATGCAAAAACACTTCTGAGAGAGCTGCACTGGCTGCCGGTCCGTGCTCGCATAGAGTACAAAATTGCAACTCTGTGCTACCGCTGCTTGCATGACCTGGCACCGTCCTATCTCAAAGAGCTGCTGACGCCTTATGTACCCACTAGACAACTCCGTTCATCCGATTGTGGCAAACTCTCGATACCGCGTGCTCGCCATGAGACTAACGAGGGGCGTGCTTTCGCATTTGCTGACCCAAAAATTTGGAACACCCTTCCTGTCGCTCTCAGAAACAGCCAGTCACTGGTGTCTTTTAAAACTGATTTGAAGATAAATCTATTTCGCAAACACCTGCTGGGATGATGTTGTCTATCTAGCTATTATCTTGTGGATGTGTATTTGCCTGCGTTGTTTATGGTTGTTAGATATGAAAGACTTAGAATGGGTATTCTCGTATATAGTTTTTTGCAATGTTGCATTTTGTATTTCAATGTGGTATATGATAGATTGTTTCATTTCTCTTTTAATATACTAGACTATGTAACGCGCTTCGAGCCTTTGGGGATGAAGCGTGATTTTCAAATAAACTTTATTATTATTTCTATTATAAACCTGATTTGGTTTGCTGTCTACTCTCATAAATCTGCTTCAGTTTGCTGTCCGACTACTCTCATAAATCATTTTTTTTTAAACGATAAAAAGAAAGCAAAGCTACATTTCGTGAGACAGATGACGCCCTCTTAGTCTGGAGGTTTGGGGGGTGGTTGTCTTTAGACTGGCGGGTGTTAAAGGGGGAGGGGGAGTGGGGGTTGATGAGGCGTCATTTTAATGTAATCCGTCTGACAGTTTAAACGCTGCTGGTAGTTGAACATCTGATGTTCTCAGCATCAGTTGCAGGGCTGCCAACCGCCCGTTAAATTTACGGTGCTTGGCAATCTGTAGAAATTTGACCCCAAAAGGCTTGTCCGTAAAGGTGCGTAGGAACCTTAGGATGTCCGTACAAAAAGATAATACATAAATTGTTCTAAAGGCTTTCTAGGGCGAAACGCTATAGAACAGCTGGACGTTGGTTTTTCTCTCTGCTCTGCGTGCTCTAAACTTGTATGGTCGTAGGAAGCAGACATTCACACCGATAAGAATGTCAAAATATTCACAGAGTCATAAAAAATGTCACGTGTCATGTGCCACGGCAATATGACATACTCATACGGATGTTTTAGCACATTTCTAGCTTTCATATTTCCAACAAAGTTATTGTTAACAACTTCCTCGTTTAATAATTTCAAACTATTTCAGATAGTAGGTCATTATTTCAAACTATTTCAGATAGTAGGTCATTATTTCAAACTATTTCAGATAGTAGGTCATTATTTCAAACTATTTCAGATAGTAGGTCATTATTTCAAACTATTTCAGATAGTAGGTCATTATTTCAAACTATTTCAGATAGTAGGTCATTATTTCAAACTATTTCAGATAGTAGGTCATTATTTCAAACTATTTCAGATAGTAGGTCATTATTTCAAACTATTTCAGATAGTAGGTCATTATTTCAAACTATTTCAGATAGTAGGTCATTATTTCAAACTATTTCAGATAGTAGGTCATTATTTCAAACTATTTCAGATAGTAGGTCATTATTTCAAACTATTTCAGATAGTAGGTCATTATTTCAAACTATTCCAGATAATCGGTCATTATTTCAAACTATTTCAGATATTATGTCATTATTTCAAACTATTTCAGATAGTAGGTCATTATTTCAAACTATTTCAGATAGTAGGTCATTATTTCAAACTATTTCAGATATTATGTCATTATTTCAAACTATTTCAGATAGTAGGTCATTATTTTGTTGACGTCATTTGTTTAGACCAAGATAGACATTGTCGTGGTGTTGCTTGTAGGGGTGTTTCCGTTGTGTCGTTGTCCAGGTTTTTCCCCACTGCCTTGTGATTTTGATTGACATCGTCCGGTGGCAGGAAGAACAAAAGTGCCTCAGCAAGTATGTAGGCCTACTGTCAGTTGTTGATACATATTTATTATCTTTCAGCCTACTTTCTTTCTCTATCTCTCACCGTTCCTGGCTTTCCCACCTCTATCTCCCCCTCTCTCACACATTAGAGACCGACCGATTTCGGCTTCGGTTTCCGCTTTGAAAGTTGACATTTGATTACTTTCGGCCCAGTTTCGGCTTCGGACGAAACAGAAAAGTTAACTTTCGTTTTAATTTCGGTTTCGGCCGAAAAAAGAAAAGCTAACTTTTCGTTTAATTTCGTTTTCGGTCGAAAATCATAAAATGGTCGAAAGTAATTGAGGATTTCGGACAAGACGAGAAGTCAGACTGTCAGTTTCTAGGCTGGCAATCCGATATTCATTATTGCTCGACATCTGGCTGTCATCGTATATTTATATATACATAATATATATATAGTTTTAAATTTCATTCAATCGTATTTAAATTTATTTTAACTATAGTCTCTGGTTAACATATATTTAACCGTGCTTCAATAATTTACCCAAACCATCAGCCACCATTTGTGTAAACGGCCCGACGACCCCCCCCCCCGCACCGAGGCCGCCACCCGGCTGTTCTGAAGTCATCTTCCCATCGTAATCACTTGAACTTGTATCCGACAACCCAACCAGTCTTGGCCGTGCTGTCATTGGTGATTAATGAATCAAGTCATGCCCGGAGATGTCAGGTGACAGATTGAAATGTTTACGCCATGACATTTCACTTTAACCAGCTGGCTGGCGTTTGTCAAAAGCACTTCGTTAACGCAGAAATGGCTGTGTGTTTGGTTTAAAGTAACTCATTGCTGTGTGTTTGGTTTAAAGTAACTCATTGCTGTGTGTTTGGTTTAAAGTAACTCATTGCTGTGTGTTTGGTTTAAAGTAACTCATTGCTGTGTGTTTGGTTTAAAGTAACTCGTGGCTGTGTGTTTGGTTTAAAGTAACTCATTGCTGTGTGTTTTTTGGTTTAAAGTATATCGTGGCTGTGTGTTTGGTTTGAAGTTAAAATTTTCGCATTTCGTATTTAACGTTCTTTGTTTTAAAAAATAATATAGGAAACGGGAAATAATCTGAAACAATATATATATGTATATATATCACGTCATGTGCGAATCTATTTCGTGGATTTCGATTGTTTTTATTAAGCCATCAGAATTTGATGCTATGTTGTTTCTGTCTACGTGATTAGTTTGCTATGATCCATGTAGCAGCTTATCTGGGATGCTGTTGGCTCTAGTATAATATTCAACTCAACATTTGGGTCTCGATATCAAAAACAGTTCAAGAAATAACAGGCGCTATGCGGCGCTCGGTGTCCGACTTGTGACTTTAGCTATCATTAACGGTGCACAGGAAGAAGAACCGTGCTGACTTGAGTTCACCGACACCTGAGAAGGACTTGCGTTCGGGCTACCTGTTGGCGGGACAAGGTGCCGGGTTTTAGGCATTATGTCGAGCCTGCTCTGCTCCAAGAAACACAAACATGTCACTCCGTCCCCAGGTGAGTACAGAGACTACACAGGTGTAAAAGCAGTTTTTCTTTCAGAAATTTTCCCCCGCGGGGTTGGGGGGGGGGGGCAATTCAGATTTTTTTTTTATTCAGATTTTTCGGGAGGGCAGTGCCAGCAGTTCCAGTTAATTTATTGTTGGACATATTTTTGCTCCGGGGGGGGGGGGAACTTGGATTTCCGGGGGGTGGGGGCACTGTCCCCTTACCCGGAGATATAGCTGAAAGAAATCCTGTGTGAAAGGTAGGCCAGGTGGGCGTTTTCGTGAGCCATCGCTCCAGCCTCTGCCCACAAGACTAGTAAAGGTGGCCTGTGAGAAGGCCCAATACAAGTGTCTAGACTTTTGATAGATGGTCAAGAATGCTCCCTTAGACTGTGTTAGGTTATTCATACGAGTATGTAGAGTCATGTAGACTTGTGTTAGATCAGGGGTTCTTAACCAGGGCAGTGTGGGTAGATCCAGAAAATCGGATTTCTTTACATTTTTATATGCATTTTTTTGTCGTGGGAGTTGCTGGATATGTACTTTGAAATCAAGCAGGGTGCGGCACTGTCAAGGTTAAAAATCCCTGTGTTAGATTCCCTGTGTTAGATTCCCTGTGTTAGATTCCTTGTTTTAGATTCCCTGTGTTAGATTCCCTGTGTTAGATTCCCTGTGTTAGATTCCCTGTGTTAGATAGTCAAACGATGAAATCTTAATTTTAGTAAAAAAAAAATAGTCTAAAAAATCCCCTCAGACTTTTTTTAGATAATCGAACATTGAAGTTTTTCCTTTTTAATGGTGCATCCCTTTCCTCTATAACTGTATTCGATGTATCAACGATGGTCTTAAGCAGAGCTCCTCAACAATAGCTTTTCTTTTAATATTATTTGTGTGTGTCTCGTTTCGTTTTTGGCCTATATCAGGGGTTCCCAACCTTTTTTTACTCTAGAGCACATTCTAAAATATCGGTAGGGTGGCGGGCGCCACCTATTTTAAATCGACAAACTCCTTCCATAACTTGTCATTTTCCCATAATTTATTTTCTTATTTTCTTATAGTCATAATATATTAATAAATAATAAACAAAAATGTTTCAAAATAATAAAATTATTTGGCATTTTTTTCAAATTGCATACACAGAGAAATGTATTTACAAAACGTAAAGAAAGTAAACAAAACACACAAATACAAAGAAAATATTTAATTAAAAAATATAATAAAGTCAATGTGATCTTTGGCATTGCATTTCATTGGCCAGAGCTTCATAATTAGGAGCGTATGACGATAATCCTGTTAGCAGACAATCATAAAGATGCTCATCGGTGAGTCGAGATCTATATCTTGATTTTATTAAGTTCATGTTTGAAAACAATGATTCGCATAAATATGTCGAACCGAAAAATGATTCAATTTTATATGCCGCTTTTTTCAACAATGGGAACTTTTCTCTATCCACTGTATTCCAAAAGTCCTCTGACATTAAGGATTTTAGCAAAATATCATTCTTAAGGTCCAAAATTTCTAACTCTAGTTCTTCTGTCTTACCTTGAACAAAATCTGCAATACATGCGGCTATTTCCATAACATTTATTTGGCAAGTAAAAGGATTGATACAGAAGGAAACTATTGGCTCAATATGTTTAAACTGCAAAAATCTCTCTTCAAACTGTTTTTTTAACTCTTGAAGATGCTTAATAAATAATGTCCCATTTAATTCATTGTCACCTAGCATTTTCTTCATATGTGGGAAATGCACGAGAGAATTGATCTGCAGATGTGATATCAACAAATCCAATTTAGCTTTAAATGACTTTACAGAGCTTATCATTTCAGCTATGCTTTTGTCTTTACCCTGCAACTCCAAATTTAAAGAATTCAATTTTTCCATGATGTCTGTGAGAAATCCCAAATCAATCAGCCAGCCAGAGTCAGCTAGTTCATCATAATTTTCCTTTCTATCGTTTATAAATGTTTTTATTTCTTCAATTAAACTCACAAATCTTGTAAGAACCTTTCCTTTACTGAGCCAACGTACTTCAGTATGCAGAATAAGATCATGTTCTTTATCTTCAGTATCTTCTAACAGGGCCTTGAAAAGTCGGTGTTGCAAAGGAGCTGCTCGAATAGAATTGATTATTTTTGTAACTATTTTCATGACGTGTTCAAATGGCAAAATTTTACAACACAGAGCTTCCTGGTGGATAATACAATGGTAGGACATGAAGTTTGAAAATGAATCATCCTTCATGCAGAGGGCAATAAATCCTTTGTTTTTACCCATCATTGCTGGCGCCCCATCAGTGGTTATTGCAGACAGCTTGTGCAAAGGCATATTTATTGACTTGGCGTATGTTTTGAATGTATTATAAATATCCTCACCCCTTGTCTGTCCTTTCATAGGTAATATTTGTAACATATCCTCTTTTACTGTGAAGTTACTAAACACCATTCTCACCATAACTGCTAACTGTGCGGTGTCTGATATATCTGTTGACTCGTCAAATTGTAGCGAGAACCAGTCACATATTTCCAAGTCAGTTTTTAACTGAGTTTGTATGTCTGTTGAAATTGCATGTATTCTTCTTGTGACTGTGTTATTTGACAACTGTAAGTCTTGCATTGCTGAGACAATCTCACGTTTGTTAGACAATCCATCAAACAAACAATCGGCACCAGTCAAAAATAGTTCCTTAAAAAACTCACCATCAATGAAAGGTTTCTTCTTTTTTGTGAGCATGTGAGATATTTTGAAAGAAGCAATAGTGGCCTTTTTAGAATTGTCCACATGTCTAGTGAAAACAGTCTGTTGTGCTGTTAGACTTGATTTTAGATTACAATTTTTTTTCTTTCTTACTTCAGATTTAAGAGGATAATTCAAATTAAAAGTGCCAGGATTTGTCTGAAAGTGTCGTTCAACGTTATGTTTTTTCGGCACTGCAATGCTACTACCACACACCAAACAAACGCATTTATTTTTCAAATTAACGAAACAATTTGATTCCTCCCAGTCAGTGTTAAAATGATAGGTTCGTTGTCTTTCACTTGGTCCACTCATTTTAGGGCTAAAATAAATAATAACAAAATAATAATTGAACTACAATATAATATCAATGTTATAGCGCAAGTCTGTTCTGCATTGTATGCATAAATATATTATAACAAGAACTATAACTATCTCCTCAATAATAATAGTTTATTAATAGATCATCGCTTATGAATACAATAAATTACGCACCTCGCTTTTAGCCTGTTAATTTTTTTTTTTTATAGAAAACTCCTAATTCGTGTTTCGTCTGACGAACATGTCTCTTATCTAACTGTCGCGACCCGAACAGGGCAGCAATCACAATGACAACAACGCGGTTTCAGGCGAGGAATGCTTTTTGCGCATCACTCCATGTACACGCGGAAAACCCGAAGTGAGCCGATGATCGCCGAAGCCATCAGAGTTATGTGCCTTGTGATTTGGCGCCTTCGGCGTTTATCGGATCAGTTCGTGGCGTTCGTTCCATTCGTTCACTTCGGGTTTTCTGCGTGTATAAGGTGTGATGTGCAAATGGCACTAGCCGTTCCAGGCTAGCGTAAATAGTGCAGTAAGGCTCGCCGCTAGACAAGTTGGGACAAGTATCGAACATATTTAATAAACCGAGACAGTCAAAAAAAAATTAAAACTCTAACAAATGAATAAAAATAAATCATATTTTAAAATAATGTTTATGAAAAAATTCTGTCTCTGTCGAAAAGTGATAGGCGGGCACATACGAATCGTTCCGCGGGCACAGGGTTGGGAACCTCTGGCCTATATGTTGACTTGACACATGAATGTCATACGTATCTATGTTAGTTATCGCTGCTTGTATGTTGACTTGACACATGAATGTCATACGTACCTATGTTAGTTATCGCTGCTTGTATCTTGACTTGACACATAAATGTCATACGTACCTATGTTAGTTATCGCTGCTTGTATCTTGACTTGACACATGAATGTCATACGTACCTATGTTAGTTATAGCTGCTGTATGTTGACTTGACATATGAATGTCATACGTACTTATGTTAGTTATAGCTGCTTGTATGTTGACTTGACACATGAATGTCATACGTACCTATGTTAGTTATAGCTGCTGTATGTTGACTTGACACATGAATGTCATACGTACCTATGTTAGTTATCGCTGCTTGTATGTTGACTTGACACATGAATGTCATACGTACCTATGTTAGTTATCGCTGCTTGCATCTTGACTTGACACATGAATGTCATACGTACCTATGTTAGTTATCGCTGCTTGTATCTTGACTTGACACATGAATGTCATACGTACCTATGTTAGTTATCGCTGCTTGTATGTTGACTTGACACATGAATGTCATACGTACCTATGTTAGTTATCGCTGCTTGTATGTTGACTTGACACATGAATGTCATAGGTACCTATGTTAGTTATCGCTGCTTGCATGTTGACTTGACACATGAATGTCATTAAGTACCTATGTTAGTTATCGCTGCTTGTATGTTGACTTGACACATGAATGTCATACGTACATATGTTAGTTATCGCTGCTTGTATGTTGACTTGACACATGAGTGTCATACGTACCTATGTTAGTTATCGCTGCTTGTATGTTGACTTGACACATGAATGTCATAGGTACCTATGTTAGTTATCGCTGCTTGTATCTTGACTTGACACATGAGTGTCATACGTACCTATGTTAGTTATCGCTGCTTGTATGTTGACTTGACACATGAATGTCATACGTACATATGTTAGTTATCGCTTCTTTTGTTTTTATCAAATCCGAATACAAACTAAGTTTTTTTTTTGCAAATTGATTGACAAATAACACTTATGTATTATGGATGCAAGAAATTGTGTATACAGTAACATAAGATACTATAACATATGATACTTTATAAGGCATTTATTGATCATGCATTGCACAAATTGCTTTCATTCTTCAACGTTTTAGCCTTAGATTTGTGCTTTCCACCAAATGTGGTCAGTATCAAAGTCTTCAGTGAATCAGTGTGTTGTCAGAAGAAGTACTTGAATTTTCTTGATCAAATGTATGGAACACGAGACGTTGTGCTACCATTCAAATCTAGACTATTTATTATGTTTAGAATTAGTTACTTCGGTAAGAAAATAAATTTAAAAATCCAAAAAGTTATAAAAACATTACAATTTAAATAGAGCGAATTTCAAACTTTAAAAAAATGAAACGAGAATCAACTTTCTAGCGTCAGTACTTTTTGAGTTATGAATTTTAAAGTGTGAGTTCGCTTGTTACTTTTTTACTTTGCAATGCACCTCCAAATTGTGTGACCCCCCTTTCCGCATATGGCGTTATGGGCAATAACTCTTGTTTACTTGATACTTTTATGGAACTTTAATGTCAGGATCAATCATTAATGCTACGATTTGAAAGTTCTAATCAAATTAATTTTAAAAATATCCTGAATATAGGAGCCAGAATGATCAATTCATAAATCGTGGGTCCTTAATATATAGGAGAAGAAGAAGAAATTATAAATAAAGTATAACTTATCTCGCTATGTAATATGGATTATTACATTAAATACGATATTGATCTTTGGTTTACCAAGTCTAGCGTTCATTAATATATATATATATATATATATATATATATATATATATATATATATATATATATATTATAATATATATATGACATTTTATAGAAAATAATATATATATATATATATATATATATATATATATATATATATATATATATATATATTATAATCTATATGAGGCATTGTACAGCAAATCGTCCCTTAAAAATAATATTGGTTTTGGACTACTTATTTTGAACTTTCAACTTTGGCACATGACTAATTATTTAAAGCTTTCTATGACCAATGATTTAATAGTGTTTGCACACGGCACATTCATTCTCTTATGAATGAAACTATGAGAACAGCACCGTGTGAATGGTTGCCCATGGCAACGTTTTGCACACGTCAAATTATGATCATTTATGGACTCCACCGGGTCTTTAAATCCTACATGAAAATATTCTTTGTTTAAGTTACTTCTAAGTTCATTCTGAAACACGTTATCAAATATTTTGATGTAAACGTGGTCATAGTTAAATCTTTCCTAAATTTCGGACTCTTACACTACAAAAAAAAAGGGGGTGTGGTCGAAACGTACAGAATGATTATGCGGCCAGAGCTCCTCATGTTGTCAGTTATCAGGCCCTCTGTGAAAACAGTTTGGTGGCCCCCCTGATCTGTAACAATGATTTCCCGAGTGGACATTGTCCACCGCTCTCAAAAAAAGGTAACACAGTTGAACACCGTTTAAATGGCGTTGACGGCTGAACTCACTCAATTCAAGTTTTTGTAATGAAATATTATTATTTCAATTTTTAACAACAATTTATCTTCTTTTTTTTTTTAAGCCTTGACCATTAGCCATGTCTGGCGTAGCAATAATTTCCGAATGGATCTTTGTGGATATGTGGAGCGCCATCTTGAATTATTAGAATAGAATATGCGCATCATCCAGAATTTTACATGGACAGCGTGTTTGTGTTGCCCTGGCTGGTTAGCAAATAATAGCATATATACCATGGGTACACATTCGGACGGTTCTCAAAATTGACAAGTACAAGAGTACCACGATTGCCAAGTGCCACTCTATATACAAAACATAGTTCGTCGTCTATATATATATTTATATTATACATATATCTGAGAATGTGAGCAAGAGTTGTTTATATGTTAATGAAGGAGTACACCTTCCATAGCCCGGTCAATCTCTGCTGGGGCTAACGCTGACGACAGGAGCAATCGAGTTTAATTCATCATCAAGCAACTATCCCCAAAGACTGAATCGGGTGTTTCGATTCGTTTGGAGCTCCTAATACCCGTGTTGCCTTATGCGGCAATCAATGTCAACAAATTGCAAAGAAAACCCTTGACCCCTGATAGACGTACGTGACTGCGGCTTTGAATCAAACAAGGTCACCACATTCCTATCGATTCATCTGCACTCTCAGCTTCCGGCCTAGTGACCTCACAACCCCCCCCCCCCCCCCCCCCCCCCCCCCCAAAAAACCCGCCTCCTCCTCCCCCCCCCCCCCCCGCCCCTCCACCTTTCGCCCCACGCTCTGTCAACTCATGAGCTGAGACACATAAACTCAGTCAACTGGAAGAACGCAGACATGGAGTTTTGCCTCAATCTGATGTTTTTTTATATTAACTCTTGAACTTCCAGGGAAGTCACAAAAGGCAGTGCTTTGATACACATGACCAGTCTTTTGGGGTTTCCTCCACACACCACACTCGATTTAGGAATGTGGTTAGATTTTAATGAAGGTGTCAACTGTTTAAAAAAAAAATATTTTAGAAGATAAGGACAGGGAGAAAAAATTCCACATTGTAGATAAGTATAGATGAGTATAGCATAGATGGCAAAAGCACAGAGGACAATAGCATAGATGGCAATAGCACAGATGACAATAGCATAGCTGGCAATAGCACAGATGACAATAGCATAGATGGCAATAGCACAGATGACAATAGCATAGATGACAATAGCATAGATGGCAATAGCACAGATGACAATAGCATAGATGACAATAGCACAGATGACAATAGCATAGATGCCAATAGCACAGATGACAATAACACAGATGACAATAGCACAGATGACAATAGCATAGATGACAATAGCACAGATGACAATAGCATAGATGACAATAGCATAGATGACAATAGCATAGATGGCAATAGCACAGATGACAATAGCATAGATGACAATAGCATAGATGACAATAGCATAGATTACAATAGCACAGATGACAATAGCACAGATGACAATAGCATAGCTGGCAATAGCACAGATGACAATAGCATAGATGGCAATAGCACAGATGACAATAGCATAGATGACAATAGCATATATGGCAATAGCACAGATGACAATAGCATAAATGACAATAGCACAGATGACAATAGCATAGATGACAATAGCATAGATGACAATATCACAGATGACAATAGCATAGATGACAATAGCATAGATGACAATAGCACAGATGACAATAGCATAGATGACAATAGCATAGATTACAATAGCATAGATGACAATAGCATAGATGACAATAGCACAGATGACAATAGCACAGATGACAATAGCATAGATGACAATAGCATTTTACGTTGGACTTAATGGTTTCAACGGCATTTTTTTATTAAAAAATATTTTTTTAACGTTAAGTTTTTATTCCTTTATAAAATTGATGAAAGCCCATCTTGTGGGTTGACCAAAAAAAAGTAAAACTTATTAAATGTTAAAATAAAGGGCTAAATTTTGGTGCCTTGTTTGAAGCATTTAAGAAGCAATCGATTACATATGGAATGTTAGAACCATGTGTCCTGTATTTGTCATCGACCTTCAACCGAATGACGACACACGGAGGACTGCCGTCATTGACAAGAACTTGCCGGGCTAAACCTTGACATGACCTGCCTTCAAGAGACCCGACTAGCAAATAGTGGTACCATAAAGGAAGCGAGCTACACATTCTACTTGCAGGGAAAATCCGGGAATCAACCTAGGCGGCATGATGTTGTATTTGCCGTAAAAAAACACATTATTAGCCTGTATTGAACCTTCTTCATTGGGATCAGGAAAGATTCTGCGACTTCGGATGTCAACATCTGCTGGCATGGTCAACGTATTCAGTGTGTATGCTCCAACTCTTCTTTCGTCTCCAGGGGAGAAATATCTGTTCTATGAGGCCCTGGACCAAGAATTATGACGTGTTCCCAACATCGAAGCATTGTACATTCTGGGAGACTTTAATGCTAGGGTAGAAGCTGATCAGGAAGCCTGGCCGTCGTGTCTAGGTTATCACGGATAAGGAAGGATTAATGATAACGGACAACGATTGCTGGAGCTGTGCTGCTCCCATGGTCTCTGTGTTACAAATACCTTCTTCAAATGTAAACAAATCCAAAAGGTGTCATGGCGACACCCACGTTCCCGCCACTCGACCAAGCTAGACATCGTCATCATTAGGCGTGTGGGGCTAGCCAGTGAATTTTACACACGCAGCTGCTATAGTGCTAACTGTGAAATGGACCATTTTCGCGTAGCAAGCAGGATACGTCTAATGCACAAAAAGCTGCATAATGCTAAAAAGAATTATCGTCCACGAATTAACATCCACTGCTCAAATGACCCAGTAAAAAACGCTTGACTCTAACTGGACTCATTTACGAGATTCTGTGTACGATTCAGCCATGGTGGCATACGGTAAAATGGAACATAAAAATAATGACTGGTACGAGGCGAATGGAATGTGATGGACCCCGTAACCGGAAGAGTCCTACTTGCCTATAGGGATGCACCTTGTGCTGTTAGACTGCAGGCTATCCAAACTGTAAAAAAAAATATTTTTAGCAGATGGCCCATTTTGTGCCAACACTTATTGGATGTACCTTTGCAACTGTATCCAATTGGCTTCCGACATCAGGGATGCAAGGAGCATGTATGATGGCATCAAGAAGGTATTAGGTCCACACGCTTCAAAAATAGCACCATTCAAATCTAAGACAGGTAAAATTATCCAGAATCCCAATGATCGACTCCGGCGTTGAGTAGAGTATTATCTTGAACTGTACGCAACAGTGAATCTAGTCACTGAGTCCGCTCTGACTAATGTTCTTGTCTTGCCAAGAATGGAAGAACTAGATGAATAGTCAACTTTACAGGAGCTCAAAAAAGCCATTGACTACCTTGCTGGTGGGAAGGCACCAGGGGTTGACGGCGTTCTTCCGGAAGTCCTTAAAAATAGAAAAAAACAATACTACCTCAGCCCTTACATGAGCTCCTCTGTCTGTGTTGGGAAGCAGGTCACATACCCAACTCACGAGAGATGCCAACATCGTAACATTGTACAAAAATAAAGGAGACCAAAGTGATTTGTAATAACTACCGAGGCATTTCTCTCGTTGACTTAGTTGGAAAGACTTTTGCCCGTGTTGCTCTAAAACGATTGCAGAGTCGAGCGAACCGCATCAACCAAGAGTCCCAGTGTGGCTTCCGGAGTGGGCGCTCAACTATAGAACTATAGACATGATATTCTCGTTACGCAAATGCAGGAGAAGTGTCGTGAACAGCATATGCCTCTTTATATTTATTCCATATATCTGACAAAGGCATTCGACTAGTTAAGTCGGGGAGGCCGGTTCAGTATCTTTCAATGAATAGGTTGCCCACCACGACTGCTCACAATAATACAGTCATTTTACAAAAACATGCACAGCACAAAAACCTTCAATGGCGCTGTCTCTGAGTCATTCCCAGCCAGCAGCCGAGTAAAACAGGGGTGTGTACTGGCACCAACGCTCTTCTCCATTTTCTTCTCGATGCTCCTTCAATTTGCCTCCAGGGACTGTGACTATGAATTGTACATCCATACCAGATCTAATGGTAGGCCATTCAATATCGCCCGCCTTCGTGCAAATACCAACGTAAAAAAGGTACTAATTCGTGAACTGATGTTCGCTGACGATGCCGCCTTAACATCTCAGACAGGAGAAGGTCTTCAGCGGCTAGTTAATCGTTTATCACTCGCTTGTAAAGAGTTTGGACTGTCAATTAGTCTACAGGAAACACATGTTTTGATGCAAGAAGCACTGTACCCTAAAATTATATATATTAAGGGCCACAATCTTTCGGTTGTTGAGCATTTTACATGAGTATGGAATAATCTCAATCTAACTGATAAAACAAACTAAGTGTCTATCAGGCATGCGTGCTTAGTACGCTCCTATATCGCAGTGAAGTGTGGACCACATATACCAGACTTGAGCGGGAAACTCAACAGCTCCCATCAAAGATGTCTGCGTCGCACTTTACGCATTCGATTGCAAGACAAAGTGTTTAACACAGAGGTCTTGGAACGTGCACACATGTTTAGCATATTCTCCGCTCTTAGCAAGAGGCGCCTTCACTGGTTAGGCAATGTGAGGAGAATGGAGGAAGGCCGTATCCCAAAGATGCTGCTTTATGGAGAGTTGGCCGAAGGGACAAGACTTATTTGGCGGCTACGTCTGAGATTTATGGACGTTTGCAAAGTAGCATGAGGGTATCCAACATAGAAATCAACAAATTAATGGGAGATCATTGCCAAAAAACGTTCCAGCTGGCCAACAGCAGTGTATGAAGAGTCAAAAAGGCAGACGATGCGCGAAACGAAGCCCTTGCAACAAAAATAATAGGACGGGAGGCCAAATCTTACCAGGAATCAATATTCTCCTGCGAGAAATGCAGTCGAGATTGCCATTCCAGGATTGGCCTAGTAAGCCACTCGCCGAAGTGTACAAAACTACTCCATCGTCTCGCGAAGACGTAAGGATGCCATATTATTATTTTTATTAGATTTATTTAAAAAAATGGGACAACATTATCAGTTTTGGAACACTTGGTAATTAAATTAAGGAATTTTAATGCTTGTACTTATGACGGCACTGAGTGCATCCTTCTTGTCCACCTCGCTCTCACTGTGCACCGTAATGCACTTTCAATCACTGCTTTCCCCATGGTGCACTTGATCTCGTACGCACCAGATGCACACAAAATAAAATCTAGATGATGACTTTTCCTATAAAGGACCTGACAGAATTATTTGAATCAGAGCTCTTAACGAAGAACGGCCCGTATCTTACGCACGGAACATGATTGTGTTCTCAAGCTAGCATTATTATAATTATTGGCAGCGTAGATGGCGTTTCTGGATGTCAACGGATGCAGCCGGGAGTCAATGTGTCCTTAAAGAGGTTCTTAGTTTAACGGTGTCTTCACCAAGTGGTTCAGACTGTGATGTTGAAACAATGATGTCTTTACGTTGGCGTCCTTCTTTGTCAAGGCGGTGCTAAGCCACGGCAGTCTTAACATAAAAATAGAGCTGCTAAAATTCAAACCCTGACTTGATTAAATATTGATTGTGACGAACTAATGTACTTTCTTCATACATAATCGATGTTAGTGTATAATGAATTTGTTCATTTGCAGCATCTTATTGTGGTTTTTAATGGAAAAAACCCTTAAAACCCTGTTTGTTTCGAAGACGATATTAAACGCACTAAATAATACAAAATAAGTTTGATAAAATTTCTTAAAATCATTACGCAAAGAATGTATTACCAAATGGCTACAAGGCTTACTATGACACCAAAGCATTCCAATTAAATTTAGATGAAACATAAATATGTATTTTTTTTCCTTCTAATTTGTGAAAATATTATCTGCACAAAAGGCGTTTGAGTAATAATTTTATGAAAATTTATTAAAAACCCACAAAAAAAAAAAACACAAAAAAACAAACAATCTTTTATTGCGTTTAAAATAGTATTCAAATGAAAGTCTTTTATAAAATCGATTAAAATTATAATTAAATTTAGATGAAACATAAATATGTATTTTTTTTCCTTCTAATTTGTGAAAATATTATCTGCACAAAAGGCGTTTGAGTAATAATTTTATGAAAATTTATTAAAAACCCACAAAAAAAAAAACACAAAAAAACAAACAATCTTTTATTGCGTTTAAAATAGTATTCAAATGAAAGTCTTTTATAAAATCGATTAAAATTATTATTTTTTTTTTGCTACGTAAGAGTTTGAGCATTGGACTCGGCAAACTATGCACATAAGACGGTTTTTTTAAAGAACGAATGTTTACGAAGTCGGGTTATAGCGACTGAGCTCTTTATTTTTTGGCATGAAACTAAAAAGTCGAATGGAATGAATGCTGATAAGAGGGAATTACCCCAATGCCCTGCCCAACACCTCTACCACCCCACACCAAAAGGCTACACCTTGGTTCAATGGTCATTTTAAGCAAACGGTTCGGTTTGAGAGTTTTAAATCCCCCTCCCCCCCCTTTTTTTTCCATCACTCTCCACCCCAACCCCCTCCCGTCGACCCAGCATACCGGAGGTGTAGCCATGTGTCAACAACTCAATGCGGCCTAACAGGTCAGCACGAGGAAGACTGAATCGACCGAGCGAGAGGGTTATGTGTGACAACACGAAATTATTACAAATCACGTAGAAAGAAAGCCTTAATGGATGTATTCCAAGCTAACAATCAATTCACCCAAATACTCTTTTTTTTACCCTCTGTACAGCTAAACTATCGTTTTACACCAACATGAAGCATAAGGTATTTTATCTTCGCTAAAACAAAATAGTATTGAACGTATCCATTAGTTACAAAAAATAATAATCAGCAACTAAGTAACTTTTATCAGTCTATTATATATAGTGCCCGCAACAACCGATCCACGTCATCTCCAACATGAACGTGTTCTTCGTTTCGTGTATATAGCCTGACTGACAACACATGTAAGACATGAGGTTCGGAAGACTAGATCTCTTAAAACATCAAGTGAGCTTCTAACAATATTTCATGTAGATAAATATGTCAACTATCGGTGTAATACATATGTCAACTATCAGTGTAACACAGATGTCAACTATCAGTGTAATACATATGTCAACCATCGGTGTAATACATATTTCAACTATCAGTGTAATACAGATGTCAACTATCAGTGTAATACATATGTCAACCATCGGTGTAATACATATGTCAACTATCAGTGTAATACAGATGTCAACTATCAGTGTATTCGCTGTGGTAAGAAGGTGGCCAGTCAGGAAACCTTCCACCAACCCAGAAATGAAGCAAGGCAAACTTTCTGGGAGTGTCCCTTAAATTTGCTCTTGTCTAGTTTCTCGCCCAATCCAGTGGCGTTGGCAGGGGCGGTGCTGAGGGGGTGGTCCACCCGGGGTGGCACTTTTTTCCTTTATTATGGAGGGGCGCTGATTTTATTTTCGTGTAAAGGGTGAAGGGGCGGCAAAATCTTGGCCCGACTCGGTGGGCTCTAGCCCTGGCTACGCCACTGGGCTGGCCTAAAACAAAAGAAAATCAATAAATATCCGCCATAGCCCTGAAACTAGTTTTCCTCTGCTGGTGGTTTTTGTCACACTGCCAGTGGTCCCGAAGTTCTTCCCCTCAGCTATGTTACATGAAATCAAACAATGAAAAATAACAAATTGAATTTTAACACATGGCTGATAAAAAAATCGATAAATGTGAATGTGCTTTTTAAATTTCGTATCAAAACGACCTGTAACATTGCTTCTCAATCTTTTCTATAGTCTGCTACCCCCCCCCCACCACCCCCCCACCACCCCCCTCCCCAAGAATTGTTTGAGTAAGTCTCGAAATCCCACTTTACAAATTGTTTGCCCCAGCACTGGCAGGCCTACAAAAGTAACAATGCAGTTTGATTTATTTATTGAATTAGAGAAAAGAACTTTAAAACACTAAACGTGTGTCTTGTTTCATGGAGGATTTTTTTTTTTTAAAGACTAGAGATAATCCGAGAAAACCAATGGCGGTGGCGGTGTGAGAACTTCCTATCTACTTAAGTTCTTTCAATCGCGTGCATTCACGTAGCGCACTTTATAAAAAAACAACAACTCACCAACTCACATGTTTTTGTATGCGCCCATTTAACGCTAAGCTACAGTCATCCGCACATACACACCTAAGTCATTATTATTTATGACTTGATATCAATGGTTCTTCTGTCTGTAATCAAGGCTGGACAAAAAACCCTGATTAAGAGCCAATAATAATATTTCAGTTGAGCAAAGATCAAAGGTCAGTCAGATTGTATACTGTGTTTTTAAGCAAATAATTAAAATATGGCTGAACACAAGGAAATTTACGTGCACTATTGCATGCAGCAAACACCCCCACCTGGCCAACTGGATTCATCTCATGCGCCCATTCTGCAAACACCCCCATCTGGCCAACTGGATTCATCTCATGCGCCCATTCTGCAAACACCCCCATCTGGCCAACTGGTATCCTCTCATGCGCCCATTCTGCAAACACCCCAATCTGGCCAACTGGATTCATCTCATGCGCCCATTCTGCAAACACCCCAATCTGGCCAACTGGATTCCTCCCATGCACCCATCCAGCAAACACCACCATCTGGCAAAGTGGATTCTTCTCATGCGCCCATTCTGCAAACACCCCACCTGGCCAACTCGATTCCTCCCATGCGCCCATTCTGCAAACACCCCCATCTGGCCAACTGGATTCTTCTCATGCGCCCATCCAGCAAACACCCCCATCTGGCCAACTGTATTCCTCTCATGCGCCTGGTTAAATAATTGGCGTGCATGTAAAGAAGAAGGCAGTGCTCAAAGAAAAAGGCGATTGGCTGATTAAATTAGTGTGATCCGAGACAGGTTTCCCAGCGTGGATATTTTAATTAATGTGAGAGAGAAAGCTCTTAACAGCTCTTGGGCATCGACTGCAGGGCAGTAGGTAAGGGGGGGGGGGTTAGGCCACGGGGTGTTGACAAGGTCTGATAAGAAGAAAAGGGGCCAACTTCAATAAGACGATGTATGGTTTTAATTTATTTTTTTTCTATTGAAAGAGAAAATTTAGATTGATGTTTAGATTGATGTTTAGATTGATGTTTAGATTGATGTTTAGATTGATGTTTAGATTGATGTTTAGACTGATGTTTAGATTGATGTATAGATTGCTTTTAAAGTAAGGTTTCTTAATCGGAAATCAGTTGTAGAAATCAAGAAGTTCAAGCAATGTGAAATGGCTTTCTGCATAATCGAATCAAATGTGCCCTTTAGGAATGTCAAAGTTATATGACGGTATCAAAACTGCCTCGACACAAGGCTAGGAAAGATGATTTTTGAATTGTCTCTCAATTTTAGACAATTTGAACACACCCATAGTTTAAAATCCAAACGCAAGTGTAGATTGAATCGATATTTGTGTTTAGTTATTCACTGTTAGGTGTTCGAAAATATTTATTTTAGACACATAAGTCTACAAAACGTATTTTAATTCAAGTATATTTCTATATATCTCTATACATTTCTATATATATTCTATATATCTCTAACTTTCTCTACGTATTTCTATATATCTCTATATATTTCTATATATATTCTATATATCTCTAACTTTCTCTACGTATTTCTATATATCTCTATATATTTCTATACTAGTCTATACATTTCAAAACATTCTTTAAGTTTAAGTCACGTTGATTTCTGATATGCTCACGGCAGTCCCCCACACCAAGAGTTTGAGAATTCTGCAAAGAGGTATCCATACGTCATCAACTAATAAAACCGTGTTTCTCTTTTCTTACCGTTCTCCAGAAATGTACGCAGGCAAGCAGTGCGTGGTCCGCACCAACAAGGTGGCGCCTGTCATCATCAAGGATTGTCGCGAGGAGTTCCAACAGTTCCTGGAGCTGAATGAACCAATCGTCAATGGGAGTCTGGCAGACGGCATGCCAGAACATCCACTTATCAAGGTGAACTGTCACAAACGCTCCATGTGTGTGTTTTGGGGGGGGGGGCGGCAAATAGGGAATAGGTTTTCTCAGGGTTTCAAATGTTTAGCTGCATTGCAGGGTTCCTGTCAAAGAATCCCTTTAAAAAAAAATTAGATCAATTTAAAAAAAAATAAGATCAATATAAAAAAAAAGAAAAAAAAAAAAAAAAAGGAATGAAAAAAAAAAGGATAGAATAGTTCAGTTTCCCTCAAATGACGGCATTGTAAGAAGGCGTCATGAAATAGTGGTAACCATAGTATAGCTGTCAAGAGAAAATAAATTACAGGGTAGTATTTGAAAAAATGGATTAGTGCCTTCAAAGGCGTACAGAGGACATGTTGCGCCCCGTCAAGAACTAAAATTGCCATGCTATCAAGCTTGAAAAATAAGCTTAAAAGTGTAAATATAAAATTACGATTGTCCATAGATTATACAAGGCTAGCAGAGTCAGGAGATTTGGGAATGAATACTTTAGCTTATTCACCACAGGTAGGCTAGCAGAGTCAGAAGATTTGTGAATGAATAATTTAGCTTATTCACCACAGGTAGGCTAGCAGAGTCAGAAGATTTGTGAATGAATACTTGAGCTTATTCACTACAGGTAGGCTAGCAGAGTCAGGAGATTTGTGAATGAATAATTTAGCTTATTCACCACAGGTAGGCTAGCAGAGTCAGCAGATTTGTGAATGAATAATTTAGCTTATTCACCACAGGTAGGCTAGCAGAGTCAGAAGATTTGTGAATGAATAATTTAGCTTATTCACCACAGGTAGGCTAGCAGAGTCAGAAGATTTGTGAATGAATACTTGAGCTTATTCACCACAGGTAGGCTAGCAGAGTCAGGAGATTTGTGAATGAATACTTGAGCTTATTCACCACAGGTAGGCTAGCAGAGTCAGCAGATTTGTGAATGAATACTTGAGCTTATTCACCACAGGTAGGCTAGCAGAGTCAGCAGATTTGTGAATGAATAATTTAGCTTATTCACCACAGGTAGGCTAGCAGAGTCAGCAGATTTGTGAATGAATAATTTAGCTTATTCACCACAGGTAAACTAACGTAAGAAAAAAAACGATTTAAAAACAAACACTTTGTTCGGCCCGTAGATTTTGCACCCCATCTAAAGGGAGTCCACTGTAAGTGACGTGTCCTGCCCCACCTTCGGTACGCCTCTGAGTGCCACCACCTGACATTTTACACAGAGGGGTGGTGTATTATATAACCACAGTGAAATACCGGTAACGAAATAATTATTAATATATAATTAATCGTTTTGTTTTATTTGTTTAGCCTCTCCCACCATGAAACTTGCTTATTGAAACCACTTGAGACCATTTCTAACAGTATTTTTGAGACACCTTAGAAATGTCATTTTGATACCACTTGCAATTGTATTCTTGGGACCACTTTCATCTCATTTTTACGTCACTTCCTCTACAACAAACACACATTTTAACCACACACAAAAAAGCGATGAATCATCTAAATTATACATATTTAAAACATTGACTGCAGTAAGTGGGTCGAGAAATCAAACCTTTGTCAGTCAGAGAGTATCTAAAACTGCGGATAAAAAGTATCTAAAACTGCGGCTAGAGAGTATCTAAAACTGCGGTTAGAGAGTATCTAAAACTTTGGTAAGAGAGTATCTAAAACTGCGGTTAGTCAGTATCTAGTAATGTGGTAAGAGAGTATCTAAAACTGCGGAAAGATTGTATCTAAAGCTGTGGTAAGAGAGTATCTAAAATTGCAGTAAGAGAGTATCAAGATCTACGGTAAGAGAGTATGTAAAACTGTTGGAGAGTATCTGCGGTTTTGGGGAAAAAGCATATTGAAAAATGACTTGAATAGAGATGAGGTAGTGAGTTAATTGACTTAGTTTATACAGACACTGCCAGGAGTGATTCGATCGTCCAAAAATAGTTAGCTTTTTGTACAGTCTATAAATAAGTTACAGGCTATCACTAAGCTACAGGCTATAACTAAGTTACAGGCTATCACTAAGCTACAGGATATCACAGCAGATTTTGAGAAAGACATGACAAGGGTCAGGGGACACAAAAATGTATTTGCACTGCGTGATTAAATATATATTACCTCCACTCGGTAACTCTCTCGAATGACGTATGACGTATCACGAGACTTTGCTGCTAAGGGATTTAGAAAACAACATAATAGATAATAAATGAGGCTGCAGTAGTCAGGGAGTGAATTCACAAATCAAGACGTATTTCTGACGTATGAAATATATGTTACTTGATAATTAAAAATAATAACGTAATATGTGACCCCCCACGATAGTTTCGGTCGTATGTCACCAAAGTTAGTTTTGCGCTAGCGTTGAAAAGAGACGGTGGGTAACAATGATACGCTTGACCACGGCATACTTCTCCAACGTCGGCAAAAAACGTTCGGTTTCACCGATACTGTCCTGAGATGGTTCCGTTTGTATCTGATAAATCGGGTTCAATCAGTTATTGCAAACGGCTTGACCTGGAAGCAATCTACTATCAAATTCGGAGTACCCCAGGGCTCGATCATAGGCCCGGTGCTTTTCACAATGTACGTTCAGCCCTTGGGTGCAGTGATCAAGCAGTTTGATATGCTATATCACAAGTTCGCGGATGATACCCAACTTCAGCAATGTCTCAGTTCCCTCAGCTTATTAGTATGACACAGAAAGCAGTGGAGTCAGTTAAGCACTGGATGAACATAAACAAGCTCAAATTGAACGATGAAAAGACCGAGCTGATCCACATTGCTACCGCTCAAAAGCTAAGATCTGTAAATAACACACAAACTCTTTTCTTTCTAAGGTATGCAGATTAAATTTGCTCAAACAGTGCGAAACCTGGGTGTCTACATAAACAGAGGACTATCTATGGAAAATCACATTAATATGATTTAAAAGGTAATTTTCTAGAGCTGCGCAGAATTAGTCATATCAGACCTTTCTTAACGTTTGATGCAACATAGAGGCTGATGTCTGCATTCGTGCTACACGCATGGACTACTGCAATTAGAGACCAACCGAATTTCGGCTTCTGCTTTAGTTTCGGCGCCGAAAGTGGCTATTTTATCACTTTCGGCCTAGTTTTGGTTTTGGCTGAAACTGAAAAGTTAACTTTTGGCTTAATTTCACTTTCGGCTGAAAGAGAAAAGTTAACTTTCGGTTTATTTTCGGTTTTGAAAATTGATGCGAAGGAAAAAGTTATTGTAGGTAGATTGAATTTTAACTTTTTATTCGTAGTGAAGGCCTTTTTAACTAACCCCATTTTAAAAGACATCCTATTATATGGAGCATGAACTTGGAAAACAACGGTGAGAATTACGCAGAAAGTGCAGACCTTCATAAGGCCATGTCTTAGAAAGATCCCGAACATAAAATTACCAAATATTATCACCAACAAAGATCTACTAGAAAGGTGCGCATCAACGAAGAAAATTAAAGAAACAATGGAGATAAATAGGACATGATCTCCGAAAACCCCCAGATAGCATCACCAGACAATTCCTAACATGGAGTCGACAGGGAAAAAGAAGGAGAGGAATGTCAAAGAATACATGGAGACGCGAGCTAGAGGCAGACACGCAAAATATGGGACACACCTGGAAACAGCCGGAAAGAAAAGCACAGGACCGTGATGAATGGAGAATTCTTGTGGATGGCCCCAGACTGGGTAAAAAGGCATAAGAAGAAAAAGTTTTTGAAAGTGACCAGGCTGACAGGCTCGGAACTTCCATCACTCGTATACACTAGAGGAAATTTTATTATGGATCCCTTGATAATGTATCAGATTTCTACGATTTACACAATTATGGTTGTGCATTACCCGCCAACTTACTTTTAAAAAATTTTTTTTACAAACCGCTCTCTTTGCCATGTTTGTTTCATAAAAAGCTACAAAATAAACACTTTTCTTCCGATTTTAAAACGGTTTTTACCATTATAATCATCATTAAAAAATATGTAGAAATATTTAAAAAAATCAGAATTAGACTAGTCGGTGATATTCGACTGAAACCGTCTCGGGGAGTCACGTTAAAGATATGAGAATGGGGGGAAACGGGCTGGCGCATTACGGCTAAATTTTTCTGTCATGTAGCGGGCCGCAAAATATTGTCTTATGGTAAAAAATGGCTCACGGGGTGCGAGTTTGAGACCCTTATATTAGATTTTTATTTATTAATATTCATGATTTTTTCATATTGATAAAAAGAATGTTAATATTGATACTTTCCCCCGTCATTTGTGATGTATGCAGAATGTATGCGTGAACGAATTTTAAAATATCTAAATATATCATTTTCAGCTTCGGTTTCGGCCGAAATTCTCTTTAATCTTTCGGTTTCGGCTTCGGTTGGAACCAAAAGTCATTTTTTAACTTTCGACCTATTTTCGGTTTCGGTCGAAAGTCATTGCAAACTTTCAACCTATTTTCGGTTTCGGCCGAAATCAGAAAATCACTTTTGGTCGGTCTCTAACTGCAATGCTCTCATGGTGGGTCTTCCAACTACGCTCCTTGATAAAATTCAAAAAGTACAGAACAATGCAGCTCGCATTGTTTTTCGCAAATGCAAATTTTACCGTGCTAAAACACTTCTGAGAGAGTTGCATTGGCTGCCAGTCCGCGCTCGCATAGAGTAAAAAATTGCAACCGCTGCTTGTATGACATGGCGCCGTGCTATCTCAAAGCGCTCATGACGCCTTATGTACCCACTAGAAACTCAGCCCATCCGAAAGTGGCAAACTTTCGATACCACATGTTCACCTTGAGACTTACGGAAGGCGCAAATTCGCATTTGCTGGCCCAACAATTCGGAACACACTTCCTGTCGGTCTCAGAAACAGCCAGACACTGGAGTCTTTCAAAACCGATTTGAAAACAAATCTTTTTCGCAAAAACCTGCTGGGGTGATGTTTTCTACCATGTTTTTCAACTAGCTATTATCTCCTGGATGTATAATGGCCTGTGTTGTTTATTGTTGCAAGGGATGAAAGACTTAGAATGGATTTTCTCGTATGTAGTTTTTTTGTAATGTTGCCTTTTGTATTTCAATGTGGTAAAAAATATAGATTTTTTTCATTTCTCTTTTAATGTTGTTGACTTTTTACCACGCTTCGAGCCTTTTATATTATATTTTATGTCTAACGTAATATTTCTTACCCCCCCCCAACCACCGCACCATTTCCCCCCTCTCCAACACCACACCTCTCACTCTCTCACACATACATTTCCGCAAACACTCACACACAATCTTCTGAGTGTTTTCTGAGCCCATCTTACTGCGTGGTCTGACTTCATGGGTGGCTGAACCGTCCGTATATGATGAGGCTCAATTTCAAGATTCACATTGTATTTTTCTTTTTGTGGTTGTTCTCCTCTTAAATCGAATGCAACTTCCCATTAATGAATTACACTCTCTCTTTCTCTTTCCTATACTCTTTCCCCTTCTCTCTCTCTCTCTCTCTCTCTTTCTCTCTCTCTCTCTCTGTATGTCTTCCTTAATCTTTCCCCTTCTCTCTCTCTCTCTCTCTCTCTGTATGTCTTCCTTAATCTTCCCCTTCTATCTCTCTCTCTCTAACTCTTCATCAATCGTTCCCATTTTCTCTCTCTTTCTTCCTTACTCTTTCCCCTTCAATATCTCTCTCTCTCTCTCTCTTTTTCTATCACTCTATTTGTGATTTATTCTCATTCTCCCACTTCCATCCATTTTTTCTTCACAAAATATTCATTGAAACGTGAGTGACCTCATTGTAAGTTAATACCTAAAAAAAATCTTAAAATATTGTTCAGGGCTTTTAAATGACATTTCTCTCTTTTTAACATTGAATAAAGAAAACATTCGTTGAAATATTTGTGACTGTCGAACAAGGTAGGATTATGGACGCCATCATCAATACACTAGACGGGAAAACAGCCTGGCAAGCGTATGAGTGATGCAGAGGGGCAAACAGCCTGGCTAGAGTGTGCGTGATGCAGAGGGGCGAACAGCCTGGCTAGAGTGTGAGTGATGCAGAGGGGCGAACAGCCTGGCTGGCGTGTGAGTGATGCAGAGGGGCGAACAGCTTGGCTGGCATTTGAGTGATGCAGAGGGGAAAACAGCCTGGCTGGCGTGTGAGTGATGCAGAGGGGCAAACAGCCTGGCTCGCGTGTGAGTTTTGCGGCAAACATAATGTGACGCTCAGTAGAAAGTTCAATGCACAAAACTTTCATATGTGGGGAGCGTGGCGGTGGTTGTAACACGCACCATTATTTAATTGAGTTTGGAAGCGCTGACCATGGCGACAAAATGTCGGTGTTGTAGAACAGGGGTATACAAACGTGATTAGCCATAGCCCCCAAAAGATATTGGTTTAAAAGCCGACAGGAACTCTCATTTGAAATGAATAAAATCATAGACTATTTACATTGAAATGGTTTGTTTCTTCTATTTGTACGGAGAATACAATACAAATGTCAAAGGTAAAAAATTAATTCAATAAAATTGTCTAATTAATCAGATCCAATGTGATGGTGTCTTTAGGATTAAATAATGGATTTCTGTGTTTTTTTTATGTTCAAACAAGTTAAAAAAAAAAGTTTTCTCTTTGGTAAGTTCTTGCTTAGGGCAGCAACTTTGTTTATACCCTCCTTTCGGCAATTTAGAAAACCCTAGACTTAAGCAGTAGCGTCCCTTGGGGTTTGGGGGTGTGGACCGCACCAAGGGACAGCATCACATAGAGATGACACCCTCACGAGGAGATGACACCCTCTCATAGACATGACACTTCACATAGACATGAAACCCTCAAATGGACATGACACCTCACATAGAGATGACACCCTTACATAGAGATGGCACCAAAAAAAAAAAAGTAGATTTGAAAAAGGAATTGTTCCTCCTGTCAACAGAGTATGCTACCACCAGAACAGGTTGTCATATGAGTCGGTTGTCATCAGATCAGGCCGACTCGAAGGAGGTCCATAGAGCAATCTGGTTGGGGTGACACCACGAGTTTACCGCACCGGCCGACACCATAAGTTTACTGCACTGGTTGACACCAACTCTAGTGACGCCACTGAGCATAAGATAAAATAGATGACTAAGCGAAAACGACGTATACGATGCTAGACATAGGCTAAAGCTAGCTGCCAAGCCACTAGAAATAATAAAATGTTGGTTGACATTTTGGTTGGCATGTTGGTAGTCATGTTGGTTGGCATGTTGGTTGGCATATTGGTTGACATGTTGGTTGGCATATTGGTTGACAGGTTGGTTGGCATATTGGTTGACAGGTTGGTTGACATGTTGAATGACATGTTGAGTGACTAATGACTGTTGATTGATATGTTTGTGGAAATGTTGGTTGACATGTTGAATGACATGTTGAATGACATGTTGTTTGACATGTTGGTTGACATGTTTAATGACATGTTTAATGACATGTTGGTTGACATATTGGATGACATGTTGATTGACTTATTAACTGGGTTTCACAATTACACCTGCAAGATGCTTTAAATATTTTTTAATGAACGGTTTTGAGCCCCAAAGATCTCCACTTTACTCCAGTTTGGGGATAGCGTCATGTGCACACGATTACAGCGTCATGTGCACACGATTACAGCGTCATGTGCACACGATTACAGCGTCATGTGCACACGATTACAGCGTCATGTGCACACGATTACAGCGTTTTGTGAACAAGATTACAGTGTCATGTCTACAAGATTACAGCGTCATGTGTACAAGAATACAGCGTCTTGTAAAACACGGTTACAGAGTCACGTGTACAAGATTACAGCGTCTTTTAAATAAGATTACATTGTATAAGATTACAACGTCATGTGTACAAGAATACATCGTAAAGTGTACAAGATTACATCGTCATGTTTACAAGAATGCAGCGTAATGTGTATAGGATTACAGAGTCAAAATGAAACGGTTACGTAAATTCGTAAATAATTCAGTCCTGGCATTATGCTTGATTTAGACTCGGGAAATATCTCTATAGAATAATTAAATAATGAATATAATTGTGTGTAGGTTTCTTTGACATATGTTCTTCATTTCCAACATGTTCATAACATATTTTCATCACATCTGTAAAGCTAGATATACGCTGTTCTTGACAATCTCACGTGTTCTTTGCCGACCACGGCTCTCACATTACAACACATTTTGCGTTATATTAATATGAATTTAATGTCTCGAGTACACACATTTCGGAAAATATTTTCTCCACATATTTCAGGGCAAATATTTCATTGTACAAGACTTCAATGACGTCACGGACGTCCTGCAGACGTACAAGCAGACATGCGCACCGAACTTCTATCAAGCCACGTCCGACCAGCCCGTGTTCGCGTCTGGTCAGCCCACTGTCAACGGTCTTAGTAAAGTTCTGTCTCACCTGGTGTCTGCCGGAAACTCGGTCAGTCCAATGAATATTTCAGTTTTGATGTTCTTGTTTTCAGATGATTCCTACAATACATTAACCATTTCAATGAGAATCTACTTAAGACAGGTCAATTTCTGCTTTCCTATTCTCGAAGCTGTTTCATCACTCTAAAAGACTGAGTATATGAAATCATCCTGCTCAAGATTACTTTAGCATAATTTTAACTCATGGACCATTAAGCTGTTATACCATCTACACCATTTTTACACATATCTTCCTATGGTTTATGCCCAAACAAAAACGTAAATAAAATGATTAATGTATTTGTGGGTTTAACTATTGGAGTCATTAGAGAAAATTATCATGGATGAAGTGCCCGGATCTTCACAGGAAATCTTGTTGCTGAACCTGCGCAGTGAACCGGTTCTCTTCCAAAGGGTGGACGATGATTACCTCCCTTATTCAGTCCGCCACCAAGGTCACGTGCACAACATGGTCATGATGGGGGACACGAAGGACAGTTGTGATCACATCGAGTCCTGTATACGGAAAGAGGTTAGGACATTTCTTGTACAAGTACACATGTCTTAAGGAAAGAGGTTAGGGCATTTCTTGTACAGTACACAGGTCTTAAGGAAAGAGATTAGGACATTTCTTGTACATAGTACACAGGTCTTAAGGAAAGAGGTTAGGGCATTTCTTGTACAGTACACAGGTCTTAAGGAAAGAGATTAGGACATATCTTGTACATAGTACACAGGTCTTAAGGAAAGATGTTAGGGCATTTCTTGTACAGTACACAGGACTTACGGAAAGAGGTTAGGACATTTCTTGTACAGTACACAGGTCTTAAGGAAAGAGGTTAGGACATTTCTTGTACTCAGTATACAGGTCTTAAGGAAAGAGGTTAGATCAGTCTTGTACAGTACACATGCGGGGAACATATGTCTTGCTATAAATGAAACTGTGTGGGTGTCAGAATATAGATATTTTTAACATCTCAATACGCTTACACAAACAGACACATACTGACACACACTTACACAGCCAGACGCAAAAGCTAAAATAACAAATACAACATGTTTAAATGTTTAATTCATAATTTTAATCATACATATTATACATCTCAATCATACATATTACACACCACAACCATACATATTACAGACATTCAATCATATATATTACATACCTCAACCGTACCTATTACATACCTCAATCATACATATTATACATCTCAATCATACATATTACACACCACAACCATACATATTACAGACATTCAATCATATATATTACATACCTCAACCGTACCTATTACATACCTCAATCATACATATTATACATCTCAATCATACATATTACACACCACAACCATACATATTACAGACATTCAATCATATATATTACATACCTCAACCGTACCTATTACATACCTCAATCATACATATTATACATCTCAATCATACATATTACACACCACAACCATACATATTACAGACATTCAATCATATATATTACATACCTCAACCGTACCTATTACATACCTCAATCATACATATTACACACCACAATCATACATATTACAGACATTCAATCAAACGTATTACACATTTCAATCAGGACTCGACTCCTTCAAAAATGCATGGCAAGGTAGAAAATACATGTATTTTGAAATATTTTATTTCCAAGAAATAAAAACATAATTTATAAGGGATGGGGGATCTTAGATAAGTTCCGCACAATTTCCTACATGACTACGCCCCTGCTTTTTGTGTAAAATGGCACACCAAGAGAGAAAATGCTCTGTTTTATTTTGTGTTAAATTTGTGTTATAATGCCTGGATGTTTACTCACCATGCAACAAATTATGTGGTTAAAATGGGCATGATCCATCGAGAAGTATCCCATATTTGTGTGTGCGTTGAAAATTCGATATTCTAGGAACAGTAATAAAATAAAGAAAGAACTGAAACTGTTTGCATTCACCTTCACAAAAGTGGTCTAAAATAGTTATATGTAAAATCGTCATTTCCTTGCATGTGAGTGAGAATTAAAGAAAAATTTTTTTAGTGAAATATTAGCTTTAAAAAATGTATTAAAAAAGTTTTTGGTCGCGGAAAGTGGTCTACAAAGAAGGCAGACGGTGATAAGGTGAACAAATACTTGCATAAATTTAATTTCTTTAAGTCTCAAAATGGGATGTGTGCTTCAATTAAACAACAAATACACAGAAACAAATGTATTTTGACGACAGTCTCATTTACAATCCATAAAAAGCTGTTTACCAAAAACAGAATGACGTAATCGGAAAAATGGTTTGTGCATGCCTGAAAAACAACCGCCATTTCGGCTGAAAGCCTTCAACAGTAAACACAAACATTGCAAATTAAAAGCCTCAAATCAGAACCAATAACCCCGATAGTGATATCCGTTGTGTGTCCAGATTGTTTCCCTTGCCGGCATAGAAGACGAGTTCGTGTTCTACTTCTACGACAGCCTGGACAAACTGCAGCACGAGCCGCACATGAGAAAGGTGGAGTTTGAAGAGGACATCCTGTTGTCTGCTGAAGTCTACGCCAGGGAATCGTTCTCAAATAAGTCGTTGGGGTGAGTATCGAGGAGCTAAGTTTCTGTAATTTAGGGAGCCATTAAGTCTCTGCAACATGGGGAGCCATTAATTCTCTTAATTTGGGGAACCATTATCTCTCTGCAATTTGGGGAGCCATTAAGTCTCGGCAATTTGGGGAGCCATTAAGTCTCGGCAACATGGGGAGCCATTAATTCTCTTAATTTGGGAAACCATTATGTCTATGGAATTTGGGGAGCCATTAAGTCTCAGCAATTTGGGGAGCCATTAAGTATAGGCAATTTGGGGATCCATTAAGTCTGTGTAATTTGGGGAGTCATTAAGTCTCTGTAATTTTGGGAGCAATTACGTCTCTGTAATTTAGGGAGCAATTAAGTCTCTGTAATTTGGGGAGTCATTAAGTCTCTGTAATTTTGGGAGCCATTACGTCTCTGTAATTAAGGGAGCCATTAAGACTCTGTAATTGGAGTACCGGCTGTTGAGGTTTTAGAAAAAGTTCATGCTGGTTTGATAATTAAAAACTAATCAACGAGCGTTTAAAGTTTGTTAGGCCTAATTGCAGTCAAAGTATTTTCTCATATCTTTAGATTATCTATACATTTAGATTAATGTTAAATCAAGTTTTGTATATTTTTGGTATCAAAAATTGTTTGGTTTGATTATCAAAAACTTGGCTCCAATGTTAATCGAGCTTTTTTTACATTTGAAACTATAGTGTGCACAGTTAAGTCACTGTATAATATCGTACATTAGTTTCTGTAATGCGTACAATTTAAAGACAATGTTTATGAGCACGATGATGATGCATTTCAATAAATGAATGAATTGAAAAAGCCTTTTGTTCCCTAATTTTTTAAAAAATTGTATTTTTAAAAAAATAACAATGGACATGTTACCAAGCCCTAGGAGTTTGTTTGTCCACAATACTAATGACATTTGCCTATGACATTTATGAGCATAATAAAACTAAAATAAAAAGAATGTCACAAAGAAACGAATTAAATAAACCTAGGGTTCCTAAATTGTAGTTTTGAAAACATTAAAGCAAAATAATATCTTAAATACCATTCCCGTAATTTTTTTTCGTCAAAACCATTTACACTAGACTACGCCTAATTGAAATTTTAATTTTGGACTTAGAACAAGTAGGTGATCATGTAGCTGTATGCAAAGTTCACAGAAGGTAATTCATATATCATCCTATGACAGCAAGATGTAAAGCAATAAAAAAATATCGGATTGCCAGCCGACAGAAAGACGCAGTCTGACTTCTGGTACCCGAGCGATTAGCGAAAGTCTCAATCACTTTCGGCGGAAACTCAAAATCCGAAAGTTAATTTTTCTGTTTCAGCCGAAACCGAAACTACGCCGAAAGTGATGAAATGACAACTTTCTGCTCCGTAACCGGAACCGAAATTCGGTCGGTCTCTACTATATAGTATCCTACATTAAAGTCTATAATGTGTACAGTCTAGTCTCTGTATACTATAATATATTATACATAAGTGAATAAAGTGAATTTAAATAGCTTCATTTTGTCTAAATTTCATTGTTACTCTTGTATGGTTTGAGTATTGATCATATAAAATATAACGGTTCAAGTATTGTATTTTAAACTGATGCTGAGGTGACTTTGATACATTTCCATACATTAACGATAGTTTCATAAATTTAAATTTATTTCAGGATAACAAGAGTATCTGTTTGATACTATACTATCCTACGTACAATAATAAGAGTATACTATATTTAACTATATCATTAATTAGGTGAGATCTTTATTTCTTACCATTAGATATGACAGAATCTGCCTCCCTGAGATGGGTTTACCCACAGAGGAGTTGGTTGACCAGTTCCTGTCACACTTTAGGGTGAGTTCAACACAATTACATGCATGGTTTGTTGTTCACATCAATACTTCATTGCCTATAAATGTTTCAGCCGATACACCAACATCAAGACAGTTGTCATCGGTCATAATCATGATTATGGGTATCTCAGCTAGTTCTATGTCTAATCCAGGGCGGTGCAAAGGCCGAGGCAACTGATTGAATCACACGAAGCACTGCCCGCTTGGTGGGCCTCAAGGACGGGAATTGATGAATTTCATACACTTATTTTAAATTTGGGGGGGGGGGGGGGCTGCACGGCCCTGGTCCCCATGAATTTCATACACTTATTTTAAATTTGGGGGGGGGGGGGCTGCACGGCCCTGGTCCCTAATGTAACCTCTGCACGGCCCCGGTCCCTTCTGAAACCCCTGCATGGCCCTGGTCTCCAATGAAACCTATGCACGATCCTGGTCCCCAAAAAACTTCTGCACGGCTTTTGTCCCCATTTAAAACCTTTGCCCGGCCCTGGTCAATCATTAAACGTTTTCACGGCCCTGGTTCCCAGGAAACCTTTGCACGGCCCTGATTTCAAAGAAACCTCTGCACGGCCCTGTTCTAATGAATCTACATCCAAACAATACCACTTTTTACTGCAGGAAAAGCCCCTCTACCTGGACAGCAAGAGTCCGTTATTTCCAGCTATTTACCTGATATCTCATTCAGGAGGTCGAAGGTCAGCCATTATTATGGTCATGAGTTGTCTCCTCTATGGACACAAGAAAGGAACATTGAAGAAGACCTGGTAAGTAATGGATTAAGAGGTCCAGCGTTTTTCAATCTTTGGAACAAATCTTGAGACACATTTCAACAAATCTTGAGACACATTTCAACAAATCTTGAGACACATTTCAACAAATCTTGAGACACATTTCAACAAATCTTGAGACACATTTCAACAAATCTTTAGATACATTTCAACAAATCTTTAGACACATTTATACACATATTTAGACAATTTAAACACATATTTAGACACATTTATACACATATTTAGACAAATTTAAACACATATTTAGACACATTTAAAAACATATTTAGACACATTTAAACTGCCAGATAAAAGAACTATGACGCACCATAATAAATAGGAAGAAACAAATCTTATTTTTTCAGTAAGTATCAACGTCAACACGAGTTAGTGTAATTTCAAAATGAATTAGAAGAATTATTCTAAGATTTACTTATGTCTAAATATAAAATAGTCAATAATTTATAGGTAAAATTAAGAAACTTTAAAGTTTTATGTAAGAATTGTATTCCTTTATATTTATATCAACATATTGCGCCACTCCTGTGTAACACAACACTAACCTGTGTGTAACGTAACACTAACCAGTGTGTAACATAACACTAACCAGTGTGTAACATAACACTAACCTGTGTGTAACACAACATTAACCAGTGTGTAACATAACACTAACCAGTGTGTAACATAACACTAACCTGTGTGTAACACAACACTAACCAGTGTGTAACATAACACTAACCAGTGTGTAACGTAACAATAACCAGTAAGTACCAAAACATCGACTGAAAACTGCTGTTCTTCACAACTGCATGGTAACCACTCGTCCCTATGGACGTCCACTGAAGCTTTTGCGAAGGAGCAAGGTTTTGTGTCAATTTGTTGGAATTTGTTAAGAATTTACACAAGAAAAATCGTTGGGAAATAACATTATGCAACACATAAAGCGACCAATGCAGAATGCAAATCAATATGTTTAATATAAAGATGCTGCTACGGAGATTTAAAAAAAAATCGATACCATTCTGTGGTAAAGGGGGGGGGGGTGGAGTTGTTCCCCTTTATCAATTAATAAAATTTCTGTAGTGCCCAAAATTGAATGGTAAATTAAGTAAATGCCAATCTAACTACATTATTCCATAGCGTATATAGTATTATAATGGGTGCTGGGTGGCCGGGTGGTATAAGCTGAGCAAATCTCAAATTCAGTGTCTGGAGTTCAATCCCAAAACACAAGTCAAGCAAAATCATCACCAGCACCCCGGGTGGATGGGACCCGTCAACCATGGAGGGCGACTCATCTAAGAGAAGGAAACCCTGAATTCAAACCCGGACATGAGGTCCCGTAGGCGAACAACACTGGTGCAATTAACATGACGATAACTCGTCGATATGGTTTTAGCTGTTGCATTGGTTCTTATCTTTTACAATCAGTTACTGTTACCGCTCAAATATTAATGTAATGAATTGTTTCGCATAATGAATTGTTTTGCAATTTAATATGAACAGGAAGTTACGTAAAAAATGTCATGCGCAGAAGAATATAGGAATACAGAGGATTTTAAAAAAAAAATTGCTTGGAACGTGTTCATGAATTATGTGTGTGCTTGCAATGGTGTATCTTAAGGCATGAGATTAGCCTTTGTTCATTCAAGTGTTTTAAGGAAAAGGTGAAATGTACAAAAGGATGACAAGTATATTACTCCCATCTGGAGATTTATTTCCTATTGTACAATTGTGTTTCATGATTCAAAGATAGTGAAACCATCTATTGGCTTTGCCTCGTGTGTTCATAAGGAATACGTATAGTAATTTAATAATCATTAAGAAAGCTGTGCAATGCTGGATGCAGATAGACAGTTATAGATTAAATAATGGAAGATAGAAATGCACAACGATTATGCCCTTAAACCAAACAAGTTACAGTTACATCAATATATTTATATTTACTATTAGTTACATCACTATATGTAGTAGTACGAAGATTTTTTTAAACTGTGCAGTCCTAATCTAATTATATTTATTGTTTCCACGTTCGCTCCATGTGACTTTAACAATCAACTTTTAACTCATTCATTAATATCCTTTAGTCACTCGTATGAAGTCACAATTTTGCAAACTACATGTATATATACACGTCATGTAGCTTCCAACCTTTGACCTTTTTTATCCCTTTTGGTTGACCAGCACTCACCTGATAAACAGTAAACGTCCAGACTACAGAGAGGGTGAGTACCGAGCCGTGCAGAAACTTGTGGCACACTTAAAAGATGGCAACCTCATCAAACAGCAGGTTGGTGCCTACGTTAGATACATGGCATGTATGACATGTGTGGCATGTTTGACATGTGTGTGTTGGGATACCCGGTGTGGCCTGTGTGTTAGGATGACAAGTCTAGCCCGTGTGTTTTAAAATACTAGGTGTAGCCCGAGTGTGTTAGGATGACAGGTGTAGCCCGCGTGTGTTATGATGCCAGCTGTGATTTCTGAGTTTTACGATGACATGTGCTATTGATGTATGTTAGATGAATAGGGTGCGATGTTTGAGTCTCAGGTTGACTGCTGGGACTGTTAGCTTTTTGTACACATATATCAGGAGAATAGATTTTCCTGAATAAAGAGCAGAAAACTGGCATAAAAATCAATGCGTCTCGAGGCAATAAGTGTTTAAATTTATGGATTCCAGATAAGAATGGCGTGGGAAATTAGGTACGATTAATTAAAACACAGCAATAAACATCAATGAAATAAAATGTATTTATGATGACCCCTGTGCATTTAACATTATGTTCCTAACAATCATTAGATATTTTAACATTATGTGCCTAACAATCATTAGATATTTTAACATTATGTGCCTAACAATCATTAGATATTTTAACGTTATGTGCCTTACAATCATTAGGGAATTTAAAGTCATGGGCCTAGCAATCATTAGGAAATTTAATATTATTTCCTGACAATTTAAGGGAATTTCACGTAATGTGCCTAACAATCATTAGGGAATTTAACGTTATGTGCCTAAGAATCATTAGATATTTTAACGTAATGTGCCTAACAATTTAAGGGAATTTCATGTAATGTGTCTAACAATCATTGGGGAATTTAACGTTATGTGCCTAAAAATCATTAGATATTTTAACATTATGTGCCTAACAATCATCATATATTTTAACTTAATGTGCCTAACAATTTAAGGGAATTTCACGTTATGTGTCTAACCATCATTAGGGAATTTAACGTTATGTGCCTAACAATCATATTAGATATTTTAACGTAATGTGCCTAACAGTTTAAGGGAATTTCACGTTATGTGTCTAACAATCAATCATTGATCTGGCATCACAGAGAGGCGGCTTATTTTGTAGAGTGATTATACCATTAGCAACAAAGACTCAACCAACGAAGTCTGAAATCTTGATTGATTATACCGTTAGCAACAAAGACTCAACCAACGAAGTCTGAAATCTTGATTGATTATACCGTTAGTAACAAAGACTCAACCAACAAAGTCTGAAATCTTGATTGATTATACCGTTAGCAACAAAGACTCAACCAACAAAGTCTGAAATCATGTGATTATACCGTTAGCAACAAAGACTCAACCAACAAAGTCTGAAATCATGATTGATTATACCGTTAGCAACAAAGACTCAACCAACGAAGTCTGAAATGTGGAGTAATTAAACCATTAAACCAAAGACTCAACTAACGAAGTCGGAAATGTTGAACTGATATTTCCGTGGAATTAAAATATTTAATGCCTACAGCGTTGAGCAGTAGGCTTCACACGTTGACCAGTAGGCTTCACACGTTGACCAGTTAGCTTCACACGTTGAACGGTGGGCTTCACAGACTTGTGATTCAAAGCTCGTAATGCATTATTTTATCGTAAGCTACAGATCCATTTCTAAATTAACTCACAAAACCCAAAGGAATCTGTGGAAAGATAAAACTTGCCACAGAAGAGACCCCACTGTGCGTACAAAGTACCTTAATCTGATGCGAGAGACACCACTGTGCGTACACATAAATTATCTTAATCTTATGTGAGACACCCGACTGTGCGTACACACAAATAACCTTAATCTGATACGAGAGACCCCACTGTTCGTACACACAAATTATCTTAATCTGATGCAAGAGACTCCACTGTGCACACACAGCTTACAGATAGTACACATTGAATACAAGAAACACCACTGTACGTACACAACTTACAAGCAGTACACTTTGAATACAATAGACTCCACTGTGTACACATTGAAGGTTGAATGCAACATAGTTTTTTTTACATTATTTTTTTCTGATGACTATGAAAGTGGAATTCTTATTGCAGCGAGATTGCTGAAAATAAAGGGTAAAATAAGATGGGCTTTTAAGTCTTTCCCCAGCTGCATCTAACGCTAAATGGTTTTAAAAATTATACTACTTGCCGTAGAAGCGGGACAGCTATAGGAACCAAATAAAGGCAGTGTGGTTCATGTGGAAATTGTTGGGATCCATTAGACACAGAGAACACGATCTGTTTATCTCTGCCAGGATCAATTAAAATAAAGCCAGTGAGACCGAAGCCAAGGTCAAATAGAAGCCGAAAGGGTGTTACTGGTCTTTGGCGCAGCAGACGACAGACGCTGACATTGTCTGAGAACAGATTCAGCAAATCCTATGATGGCTGTGGGGGGGGGGGGGGCTGCTGGTAGCGGAATATCCAATTCACATATTACAAGTGACAAGGTTAAGGCCGCTGTGTAAAAAATGGAGAGACAAGATTGGTTTCATTTCACGGGCAAACAGAATAGATCTTGTTCAAATGACCAGAGACCATAGAGCAGCATTCGAGGTAACGGATTATCGGTTGATGTATGCTGACGTGAGCTTGTTTCTGTACGCTTGTGCTTTTAATTTAAACAAAATTTAATGCACGTGATATCATATGTTCTGTCATTCAGTTACTGTCACATAACAATACGGAGATTAGTGACAGTTCTAAACTATTGATATGTGATTGTGAATAAAAATTGATCTCATCACGAATGAAATTGAAATGGAACAAGTAGAGTTGGCAGGAGCAATCCAATACATCTCAACAGTTTCAGACATTGATAAGATTTGTTAGATGCACATGTGCCACGTCACGAAGTGTTTAAAGACACGGTTGTTCTGTTGTAGTTGTAGCATCACTTAATGACCGGTGGATTGTTACTAGAATGTTGACCCATACCGCCCAGGAAAAAAAAATACAAATCATTTTAAAAAGACTTTAAAACAAAATCAAAGAATATTTCATAATACCCGTATGTATAAATTTTAAACATAAATTCGAATAAGTTCCTGGGCACCAAACAATCTATTTTCGAGTTTCTTGAGAAAAAGTAAGGAAACAATATGTGACAGCTTGTATAAAATGTAAGACAACTGAACGCCTTCATCAGCAAATACAACAAGAGCAACAGGGAAAATTATAAGAAAACCAGAAATTAGATTGCTACTGTAAAAAGCGTGATATAAGTAGCTCAATTAATTAAGAAAACAAAAAACCGATCAGATTTCTCGGGACGTTTGTAGACCATCAATTTTGAATATATGGAACACAAACTCGAAAATTGGCATGATGCCTTCAAAGTCACGTAACTAATCTGAAGACAGTCTTTAAATTTCATATTACATTTCATTTTCGTTTCCTTAATTATTTAAGTTGTTTAAGAATTTAGCAGGGATTTAAACAGACTTTGATGAGAAGCCCAAAAGGGTAACGAACAATTTTCTACATTAGAAGAATGCGTATATGCTGAGTGAGTTTAATATTCCATGAGTTCGAAGACAGCTGGAGCTCAGACCCATGACTGTGTGGACTTATTGAGCTTACCAATCATGAACTTGTAGGCTACTTGAGCTCACCAAAAATGACCGTATAGACTACTTGAGTTCACCAAAAATGACCGTATAGACTACTTGAGTTCACTAAACGTGACCGTGTAGACTACTAGAGCTCTTGAGCGAGAATAAATAATTTATAGAGTCCTTTTCTCGGGACAAAACAAACAGATAAGATTTAATACAGTACTAAACTGCCAGTCAAAACTGAAAATGAATATTGGTTTAAATAATTTATCAAATGTTTATTATATTTTAAGGTTGACTTTCAAGGTATAGGAATAATGAATTCCATTAGATTCAATTGTATGCTGAATTAACATTATAACATGATCGTAGTGTATAGCCATGGCCTTGTTCCAAATAGTGTATAACCAGTGGCGTAGCGAGGGTGTTTGGCGCCCGGGGACAAGATTCGCGCCCGGGGACAAGATCCATTTTTAGCTTCCCTTTTTCTTTTTTTTCAACTCTCAAACCCATTATTTTCATCAATAAAATAATATCAAAGCACATTTTGGCGCCCCTAACTAGCTGGCGCCCGGGGACATATGCCCCAACCACGCTACGCCTCTGTGTATAACCATGGCCTTGTTCCAAGTAGTGTATAACCCTGGCCTTGTTCCAAGTAGTGTATAACCATGGCCTTGTTCCAAGTAGTGTATAACCCTGGCCTTGTTCCAAGTAGTGTGCACTATTGCCTTGTTCCAAGTAGTGTATAACCCTGGCCTTGTTCCAAGTAGTGTGCACTATTGCCTTGTTCCAAGTAGTGTATAACCCTGGCCTTGTTCCAATGACAATCTTGACATTTCCACATTTCACAGGTGGATTCAATCATAGACGAGTGCTCGCAAGTCATCAACCTGAGAACATGCATCGCTGACCACAAGAAGAGACTCGAGGCTGCAGCCTCCAAACATACTCAGGTGAGAGAGGGACATGCCAGGGCAAACCAACCAAGAGATCTCGGCAAAGTGACATTTGAAACGCGCGGGAAAATGAGAGTTGCAGTTCACGTATCTAAGAAATGCCAATGAAAGAAGGATGATTTAAAAAATAAAAACATGGAATGGAATATAAAAACACCACTAACAAACAGAAACTATAAATAATAACAATACATCATATAATTTATAACATTAAAGTACTTCGATACCATTGGCTTTATTGAAGTGCTTGTTTTTTTAAAAAGAGTTTTTAAAGTAAACTTAAAATTTATCAACAGAGCTCCAGCACAGTTGAACATTTGCATGCAGGATGTCTGAGTGCCTTGGAGACCTACTGCTTTCTGATAGCTTTTAATGCTTACCTCAGAGATCAGGTAGACATTTCCTAGCCTATGCCTATACATATTAAGTCAAATTATGAACTATTATTTACCTTTTTAAAAAATTATTTCTTTTAATAAAACAATGGATTCTAATGGGAAAGTAACGGTAATATTAACTTCTTCTAGGAACTGCACTGACTAGCATGATCTAAACTGTTTTAAAATGCAGACAATGTTAAATGAACATATTTTAATCTCAGATGCCCAATAACCTAAGCTGGAGTTACAACAAGTGGTTACATCGTAACCCAGAAGTCATCAGATTATGTAGTCATCTTGACTTTTCTGAACTTTGCTCTCCTCCATCATTATTGTCATCACAGCACCGGTATCTGGTAAGTCATATGTTATTATCACTTCACATACACTTGGTAGTCTTCTTGAAATTTTTGTCATGACACACATGTTTGGAAAAGTTTGACAGTTGTAACACATACTACTTGGTAAAGTTAGAAAGTCATGTTGTTCGTCCGTCGAGGATCGACGATGACCATCGAGTCGTCTGGTGACTGATGACTTGCGCGGGTGACTTTTGTTTAAAGTGAGGAAGAGTTGCGCAGCGTCAACCTCACTCTCTCGTCCGAGCCCACCATATCCAGTGGCAAGACTCTACGTCAAGACGACCAGGGATGGGTACGGTTGCAGGAATTGACATTGTATGCGCCTTACGGGACTCCAACTCCGGGTTTGAATTCAGAGTTTCCTTCTCTTAGATGAGTTGCCGACCAAGGTTAACGAGTCTCATCCACCCGGGGTGTTGTTTTTGCTTGACCGGCCTTTGGCTGAAATTGAGGTTTGCTCAGTTTAGACCATGCGGCCACCCAGTCACCCATGCAGTGAATGACCATGGCGTTCTACGTGTTTGGTCATGTTCTCAGCAATTCACACCACTGTGCTGTCTCCGCCTTTTGTCCGTTGACCAAGTAGTGGTTCTTCCGCACAATTTGCCGGATTCCGTCTTTACATGCTATGGGGGACAACCCCTTTTTTCCGAAAGTTCTATGCCCTTCGGCTACCCTCAAGCTGGAATCGTTGTCTGGGTTGTAGTCGCTGTGCATGTTACAGCTTCTTGGAACCACAGGTCATAGAAAGTCATAGTACATAAAGGCCTACTTGGTAACATTTGACAGTCATAAAACATATACTTTCAATGCATTTACACTTTCATAGTACATATTTTTTTTGCCTGACATTGTCATAGCAGATACAATTTTAACACCTCAAAATCCTACAACTACAAATATTGGCAAGTCTTAACATTTAAATTCATTCTTACATTAATTTTGCTGATGAACTTCCCGATTGTAAGTTGGCTTTTTGTTCATAAAACTATTTTTCTCTGTCTTTATTCCAGGTGTATGATGAATACATTGGTTTGGATGTCCTTAGTTCCCAGATGGATGTCAAGGTCTCTAACTTTCGTCGCCTGATGGGTTTACCAATATATGGCATGGCACAGCCTACAAGAAATGTAAGTTGTTATGTAAAATCACATGTACTAGGTCAATTACAAAAAAAGATGACACATAAACAAATGTCCTAGTGTTTGATTTGTGAAATGATTTAACATAATCCTTTTTTAAAAATAAAATTTCATTGTGCATTGTGCATTGTGCATTGTGCATTGTGCATTTACTTTTTCTGTCCCATTATGCTGATAACCGCTTTTAAAACAAAGAAAATAAAGAGAAAATATAAAGAGAAATAGCTTCATATCACTGTGAATTTAAAATTCACTAAAAAATCTAAACATTATTTTCCATTCAAGAGTTCCTTTCTCGGGACAATACAGACTGATAGGATTTAATAGAAGACTAAACTGCCCGTCAAACATTAAAATGAATATGGGTTTAAATAATTTATCAAACGTTTATTATATTTTAAGGTTGACTTTGTAGGTTTTGGAAGTAAGAATTCCATTAGATTCAATTGTATCCTGAATTAATATCATTGTAACATGATCATAGTGTGTAACTATGGCCTTGTTCCAAGTAGTGTATAACCATGGCCTTGTTCCAAGTGGTGTGTAACCATGGCCTTGATTCTACTTTAATAAAAGTAGTATGTCTCAGATATGGATGAGATCAACATATGACATATTTTCTGAGTGCTAAATTCCGGGAGGTGCATTTAAGGACAGGGGTCAAACTGTATTGGCTTAAATATTTTAAAGAAAATTGTCTGTATTTTCTATGCCCAAACTCCCAGAGTTTTTAGCTCCAGTTTAATTTCTGTTTGGGTAAGTAGACATTGTGGTAGTGATAGCTTCAACACTAAATAAAAAAATTATGTCCCTGTATTTTTTTAACACTAGTAAACAAATACTGGAGAATATTTTTTAAAACACACCTTTTTATTTTGTATATCCCATTGTCTAATTTTAAATTCTCTTGAATTCTAATTTTTGACGTGACAAACATGTTTAAATATTTATTTGATTTTAAAGCCAACATTTTCTTCCAAGTTTGTTAACACAGAAAAAAATGAAAATATTTTTAAATTCCTTATCAATCTTTTTTCATTTTTGTTTTGTATTGATTTCTAATTTTTGTGATGCCCTTTTTAAATTAACATAATTTTTTATCAATTTTAATTTTTGTTCTGTAGGGTTTGTCTAAAGTTGTCAACCATCTTCTGCACCATAAACAAGGCTATGGTAATGTCATTGTGGTTAACTTAAGGTCAGACTATGTCCTGGAGTGTGATGATGTCACATATTCTGTCAGAGATATTTCTCACTTGGCAGAACCCATTCATTCCCAGTGTTCATCTGGAAAGGACCTTGAGGTAGGTATTTTTCCAGCCTACCTCGGTTGGATATTCATAGGCTTTTTATTGAGTATCTGTGACAGGGGAATTCATCACATTTATACTAAGAGGCCAGCAACACATATTTATGGCAAGCCTTGAGAAGTAAACTCAGGGAAAATTCAAGGTTTAAGCACCTAAAGTTTTATAATAATGATTTAATATTAATATAAAGGCCTTTATATAAAATATTAACTTTGAGAGAGGGTTTTGTTGCATATACTTGTCATTTGAAATCACTCATAATGATTAACAGAAAGTTGCATGCCAAAGATTATCAGTTGAGATATTGTGTGGAAAGACAAAATAAAAAACCTGCACTCACATTTAGACTCTCCAAGAGCTTTATGCTATACCGGTAACCAAGACAGCAACTAACCTTAATTTTACAGTTTTCCAATACTTAGGCCTACAATGAAAACAATAATTTGCAATGTTATTTTAATAAATGTTTTGACTATATTTTCACTAGGAGATGGAACAAAAAATCAAGAAGGAAATAAGGTCAAAACGATCATGGAAGGTAAAACAGTGTTAAGATCTTGTAGCTCAAATCAATTCCAATCTGAAGCTTTTGTTAAATCAATTAATCTAATCGTACTCACTGGCTCTTTTCAATGCAACAGTACATTTTTGTGACTAAAGCTTTACAATTATTCGTACTGTGTACGTAGATAATGTCATATGGTTTGTTTATTACCTAGTAAAAATCACATATGATCAATTCACAAGTATCAGTACTATGAATAATGCATTATTGAGGAACTATATTATAGCTAGCCATATTGATAGTAGGTTGAATTTGGCAGTGAAGAAAAGTCAATTCATGAGTGTGGGCGTATGTGGAATTTTTATTTCCATGATATATTTATATATCTAAAAAATAGAAATTCAATGGAATTATAGTGAAAGATCTTGAATTACTATTCCAAATTTCATTTTGTGTGAACTTAGACATTATACATGTGAGAAGAGCTGACTCAAAAATTCATTGTCACAAGTTGTCTATGTGATGTCCTGGTTCATTAAACTTTAGTGCTGGTAATATTAAAAGGAACAAGACTTGCCACAATTAATATTATAGTTTACACTAAACATCAGTAAAATTTTAATAATGATCTGGAATATCCACCCACAAAACTTGTATGACGTCACAGAAATCTCTCCAAACTTTATATCTCATGTTTTTAATCTTTAACTTTACTTTAAGTTATTCAACTTAGATTCTATTATGGTACCTCTTTATAAATTGTAGCCATGTATCACCAGGTGTATAAGGAAATCACTGACCAACCCATAGAGAAGGAACTGATCAGTATATTTACACCTGAAGAGCTTTATGAACAGCAGAGGTTGTCCACTTTAGATATGCATTACAGACGTCTGCCCCTTCAGTACGATCATGGTCTCCATGAGCAGGTAGGAGAAGAAAAATATCTATTTATTGAAATTTCTTTAAAGCAATCGCTTATTAACTTTATTTAATAACCATCATTATATTCAACAACTATTTAAAAAAAAAATATTGATGTAACCTTTAAAGCTTGATTTTTTTTACATTTTAATTAACATTAATCATTACAACTTTTTTTGAGGTCACAAAGATTGAGATAAAAAAATCACAGACAGATACACTACATTTCTTAATTTGCTATCTCAGGAATTTGATGCAATCCAAAGCTTGATTCTAAGTTTCATGAAAGAATCTGGGTCATGGGCAGAGAGTTCTCATGCATTTGTTTTTCACTGCCGTACTGGCAAATCTCGCACGTCCTTAACTATGGCAGTTGCTGGTCTTTTATTCTACCACATGACAGTATGTATACTGTAATTTAAATTTTTTTTTTTTTTAAAGGGCTGATTTATAAGATAAAATAAATTAAAAGCAGATTTTCTTTTTGCAATTTTATATGTTTTAATAATAGTACCTTATTTAATAAATATCTTGTTGGCAGGGACAAAAATCCTTTCTTAAAACCTTTAAAGTTAAATTAGAATAATCAGAAGTAGTACTTTTTTTCTTATCCTTCTTAACAAAATTTTCTGAACTAGGGAGTGTGACACCTAAGTAATTCTGAAAAGTTAAGTAATAATATATATAGGTCTGATATAAGTTTAAATATATGCCTGTATCATTTATTGATTAATGGGTCATTAAGAATTTGTTGTTGGTAAGAAAATGGAGTGCTTTACTTCAAAGTTTGTAAAAGAATATTGAAAGTTGTAAAATGTGATAAAAATTACTTGAAGTTTAAACACATGTTTAACATAGGACCATCAGTAATTAAAATACTTAATTAACTTTTCTTGTTTCTTGCTTACTCAGGGTTTTCCCTATGGAGCCAATCCAGATGAACAAGAAAGAGTTAGCTGCCCAAATGCACGCTACACAAAAGGCGAATATTTGGTATTGGAACAAATAAAATTCAAATTACTTTTCAAGTTTGGGACATAATAAATTTAAAATGTGTATCTTGTTTGTTATAGTGGAACAAGGTATTTTGAAGCTTGAATCAATAGATAGTCCTTTAATAATTATCTTGCCTGTTAGAGATTCAAATTTCTTTAATAGATTAAACTATTGTTAAAATAATTTTATCCATATAATTCTATGGAGCTAATTCTTTTTTAAAAAAAGGCTTTTCCCTTTAAATCTAAAAGTATTAGCACCCCACCCCCCCTAACAGCTCCTCCCCCTGAAAGATGGGATATCAGTGCTGAATTCCATATTCAAGTATCATAAATCCATTGGTAGAGTAGATGCAAAAAATATCATTATGCAAATACAGACCTGCACCAAAGAAATTTAGGAATTAACTTCATGTTCAGTTTCAAAACATAATTGTTTTTAATTCAATTAATAAATTGTTTGATTTTGTATTATTGGTCTGTTCATTTTCGTATATTTCGAACAGCTTAACAAAGATGTTAATAATATTTAATGGATTAGCGTTAGGGTTTTTGTCTTTTTTCTGTTCCATAAATTTTAATATTTTATTTACTGGTTTCAATTTTTCCAAAGGTTGTTGAAAAACTGATATGGATGTTACCTGAGGGGCACCAAGTCAAACGGGAGGTGGACCTTGTCCTTGACCGACTATTTGAGACTATGTCCCCCATGCACTTCCATCTGAGAGAGGTTATTTTTGTCATATTCAATAAGGTGTGTATTTTATTAATGAGATGTTTGAAATAAGAAATATATATCTTTTTAATAAACTAATCATATTACAAAAATGTCTTCATTAAAAAAAAAAGGCATATCTTTTCTCTTGAATATTTATTTATGATATTAAATGAAGATTTATTTTTTAATAGTAAAGAAACAGATTTACCTCTACAAATTATTGTCAGAGATAAAGAAAATGTTAAACCCAGTTTGTTGAAGTAATCCAAAAAATAATTACTCTCCAGGCCAAATCATCAACTGGAGCAAACCAACGCTACTTCCATCGACTCAGCTATGACCTTTTGGAGCGGTATCTTTATCTGATTCTTTACAATGCTTACTTACACATGGAGAAAACTGGAAATTTTCAACGCTCTTTTACATGTTGGATGACTGAGGTGATAATTAAAATTAATTAAATATACAACATGTCAATACTTAATGAATATAAACTTTAAAAACAACATATTTCAAAGCATTATGCATTATGGCATTTGTTGATTTTAAAGTTCATTTCAAAAGTAGGCAATTGTAAAATTCAAAATTATCCATATACAAGAAAAATAGGCAACACATCCAGCAATAAGCGAATTTGTGATGATGACATCAAATAAATAATAGAAAAACGGAAATGGAAGGCACTCATCATGAAAAATAATTGTTTGAAAAAAATATAAAAAATAAATATACGTTAATTCAGTGTGATTGACATGGAAGCAAAGGAGAAAGTGACACATGTTAATGAATTTTGTTCTTTTTAATGGCAAAAAAATAATGAAATTTCCTGTCTTCAATGGCTAACATCTGATGAAGAGAACCAAAAACAAGTTCATACGCTACATTTCTCGATTTATAATAAAAATGCAACCACGAATCTTATTTCTTAAACTTGATAATTTAATTTGAATGACATTTTTTATTTTATTTTCCTTGTTCTTAGGTGGCTGCCCCTGCTGGTGTCTTTGAATTATTGGACAATCTTGGATTCTTTACACTGGAGACTGCCCCTTCAGAATTTAGCAGATTAAAAAATCGTATTTTGGATCGTCAACAGAAATTGCCTTTCACTGGATTATTTGTCTAGTGCCTGATTTTTTTTCTTTCTTTGGAAGAAACAAAGTACTTTTAAATATTACTTTATTCTGTAGCTTATTATAGATGGTTACACATTTATGTTACATTTATAACAAATATTTTTGCACTTCTGGTTATGTAACATAGGTGACATAATAGATGAACACAAGGATAATTAATTAGACACAAATTTTGTATTACAAGTATTTTATAAATGTATTTATGTATATATTGAAATAATATAAATAATAATTGTATAAATGTGTATAGTTGACACAAATTTTGTTTATCTTTAAATCTTGTAATGCAGAAATAAATGTAAGATAGTAACAGAATAGAAAATGTAAATTAATCTTTTAAAACATGCCATTCAATAAATTATTTAATGCCATTGATGTTGATTTGAGTGGTTTGCAATCAACACATTTGTAATGTTTAAGTGCTAAATGCATAAGCTTACCCTTTTTTTAGTCAAAAAAAACAATTGTAAAATTTAGGCCTATAACATAAAATGAGAGAAGTAGGAAAAAGCCTGGTGGGTTTACTTATAAAAGTTATTACCTGGAAAGGAGATTTAGACTTAGATTTGTGCAACTACAGTGTATTAATATTTTATTTGAGAAAAACTATTATACTTTTAATATATGATTATTTCATTTCCATGATTTGAGTCAAAAGGGGGAAGTAAAAAAACAACAGCAACAAAAAAAGACAATCCTAGAATGATTTAATTGCATCACCATCGTTTGAAATGTAGGCCTAGAATAATCCCTATTTACATATGCAATGATAAACTTGGTTAACAGTAACCTATCAAAAAACAAATTGGAACTTTTTATAGTTTTTATTTTAATATTATCTTCACGTTACATGAATTTTTAAAAACATTTAGATAATTATTTGGATTAAAAATTAGTAAAAACTTATTCATTATCTTCATTTTATATATATTTCCATTAAAACAGCTGGTAAAATTAAAGATTTCTATTTGGTTTTATCTCAGCAGACGGGCATTCAAGGTACACGATGATGAATAATTAGCAAACATTAATAACTTTTGGGTAAATATAGTTAAGTTCTTCGAAAATGCTTTGATTATTTGGAAATCCCACCTTATTTATCTTCCTCTTACAATTTGAATATTGAGTACTTTTTCACAGATGAATCTCAAAATGTTTGTAAATTCTTTTCTTATTTTAATTTTGTAGATTTCCCTCAGAACTTTTAATTTCTCTGATGGTATTCGGTGAAATAATTGTGCACTGTCATGGCTTTCAGTCAAAAAGTTGTGCACTGTCATGGCTATCAGTCCAAGTTAATAGAAGCAACCAAACACATTTGTAAAAATGTAGTTATAAAATGATTTATTATAATCATGTATTATTTTTTTGAGAGCCTTGTATCATTTGCTCAGAGATATCAGTCATTAACAATAATTATATGAAGAGTTCTCTGCATGTCTCAAATTTCCTCTCTAGAATGAAAATAAAGTGTAGAATTGTTTCTGATTTAGTTTTTTTTCTCCATTTTTCACACTTGGGTTTTAACATTTTCAAGGTAAGCTATGGATTTAAATACACTTATAATAAAATATGTATTTCAAGTTTCCCCAAAAACCTGATTCTTGTAATTTTTTTAATTAATTTCTAACAAACAAGTTTTACTTTCATTAATTACATTTTGAAGTTTCTATGGTTGGAAAAGTGAAATAAACATTTTACTTATATTTGGATTCAACAATTTTGAAAAAAAAAAAAAAGTATTTAGATATTTTATTTTTCAAAAATGAAAAGACCTACTTCATTTTATCAGTACTTTAGTTTGAGTTATAATGTCATTCATTTTATCAGTACTTTAGTTTGAGTTATAATGTCATTCATTTTATCAGTACTTTAGTTTGAGTTATAATGTCATTCATTTTATCAGTACTTTAGTTTGAGTTATAATGTGATTCATTTTATCAGTACTTTAGTTTGAGTTATAATGTGATTCATTTTTTTTTAACTTCTATAATTTGCAATTTGGATTATGTTTGGTGTAAATTTTAATTGTACATTAACAAATGAAATAAAACTAATTTTTTCTTTATTTAAAATCATAGTTTTATCATTTCTAGTCGTCATAAATAAAGATCACAATAAATATTCAACAGAAAATCAATCATATTGGCATGTACGTTTTATACATTCCAAAAAGGCTCTGCATAAACTCTATAACAGACCTGATCCTTGCAATAAATTTCGAAGGTCTTAATTTTTAGTTTTCCACAGGGCTATTTGTTGGCTTATGCTCTCCAACTCTTTCAGATGAGCTCAGGTTAAGCATGTACAGCTTGAGAACCCTCTTGTTGCAGATGAAGGACAGAAAGATAAAAACACCTTGAAGACCATTGAGTACTATTGAAATGAACCTGTGAAAAAATTAAGGAAATTATAAATTTTTCTCATTTTTAAGTGTGTTGCTGGAAGTGAAAACTTTTGATTGAGTTAATGTAGATTAGATGAATAAGAGTTTTCAAAATAGAAAAACTAAACTTCATCTTCTCTTTTATCAGTAAATTAATTCAAGTATCAGTCATAAGATCGCCTTTCTTCAGGGGTTAGAGTTGGTGAACTTGGACTAGTAATAATAACACTAATAGACTAATACAAGTCAAATTCTGTGGGTTAATATGTGTTCCACAAACATAAATTAAATAAAAGACGTATTTGTTGAAGCGATATAAGCCTAAGAAGCTTTTCCGGTGAATAGTGGAGTAAAGCAAGGTTACGTGCTGGCTCCTACTTTATTTGCAATCTTTTTCTCCATCCTACTCCAGTATGCCTTTCAGAACAACAGCGAGGGGATATACATCCACACTAGAGATGACGGCAAATTATTCAACATTGCCCGCCTTAGAGCTAAGATTTAAACAAGAAAGGTCTTGCTGCGGGAGTTCTTGCTTGCGGACGATGCCGCTTTGGTGTCTCACACAGCTGACGGCCTGCAGAGCCTCGTATCCAGCCTATCCGCTGCCTGCAAAGAGTTTGGCCTGACAATTAGCCTAAAGAAAATTAACATTATGGCACAGGGCGCTGACTCCCTCCCCACTATCGCCATCGACGACTACGACTTGGATACTGTTGACAGATTCACATATCTGGGATCCAACATATCGAGCACCCTCTCAATGGAGGATGAGATAAGTTGAGAGGATAGGGAAGGTCGCAACTGTTATGGCCAGACTGAAGAAAAGAGTCTGGTCAACCGCCAAACTCACAAGAACTAAGCTGCAGGTGTACCAGGCCTGCGTACTGAGCTCACTTCTGTATGGATGCGAGTCGTGGACCACATACTCTAAACACGAAAGAAGGCTCAATGGCTTCCAACTCAGATGCCTGCGCCACATCCTTGACATTAAATGGCAAGACAAAGTCCCCAACACGGATGTCCTGTCCCAAACAAAAATGTTTAGCGTCCCAGCCATTTTCATTGTTTCTATAGAATAGTAGTTACTATCCTAGTGTCTCATTTGTATTTACTTAGTTTACATGTTTTAATAATTGTAAAGCGCTTAGAGCTTTATGATAAGCGCTATATAAAAATGCCTAAATAAATACATAAATAAATAATAAAAAGACGCCTCCGCTGGCTTGGACACGTCAAGCGAATGCAACCTGGTCGCATACCAAAGGACGTGCTATACAGCGAGCTGGCGACAGGGAAAAGGTCAGTTGGACGGCCTCGTCTGAGATACTTAGATATATGCAAAAGAGACATGAAGTCGGCCAACATCGACATCTCAAACTGGGAGGGGCTGGCAGAGGATCGTGAAAGCAAGATCACTACATGCCGAGGATCAAAACAGGGCGGAAACAGCTGCAAAAAGAGTGAGGAGGAAGGCCGGTAAATACTGCTCCACCGCATTCGTGTGTGGGAAATGTAACAGAGACTGCCATTCGAGGATTGGTCTCACCAGCCACACCAAGAGCTGCAAGCAATAAAGATAATCTATCGTCTCCCGCAGACGGAAAGATGCCATACATGCATAATATTTCTGACAATGACTCTTGAATGACAATGCTATTAATGTTAGTTTTAATGTTAACACAGAAATAGTGTTTATTTAAGGATTTAATGTTAACACAGAAATAGTGTTCATGTAAGGATTTAATGTTAACACAGAAACAGTGTTCATTTAAGGATTTAATGTTAACACAGAAACAGTGTTCATTTAAGGATTTAATGTTAACACAGAAACAGTGTTCATTTAAGGATTTAATGTTAACACAGAAACAGTGTTCATTTAAGGGTAAAAGACACCAAAAGCTGCAAAGGCCTGACAACATTGCATTGGACACGAGAAGGCAGGCAATATGGCTATTGTACACACAAAAATTACAATGATGTTTTACTCTAATGAACATAAAAATGAAGTGTCCGAATAGCTCTGATTAACTAATTATACAAAAAAAGAAAAACAAATACAACATACCTTCAATAAAGAAGACTATTTTACTATTTTTATTCTTTTTAAATTTTAATTATTTGTATCTTTTTGTAAAATATTAATTATTTTTCTAATTGTCCATAAAAAAAAATAAATTTAAAACAAAAAATATTTCGAATGTCATTAAAGACATCATTAGTCTCAAGGTTTCTTTCAGCTAGAGCCTCGGGGGGGGGGGGGAATTTCCCCCCTGGGGAAAGTCAAATGCCGCCCGGAGCAAAAGTACTGAGGTTTGTGATTCATACATTTGTGTGCAAAACTTTACAGCATCAATTTTTTGTGTGCAAAATTTTACAGCCCACAACCACACACGGAAATTACATAAATGAACTTATGTGCAAAACCTTTTATATATATATAAAGGAGCTATAATTAAATAATTCTCATCCAAAATGTCACAACAGTTCAATCAAAGCCCTACAGAAATGTCACAACAGTTCAATCAAATCTCTATTTACTTCTATTATTTATCCCGTCTTTAGGTCAAGCAACTAAATTCCAACACATCCACTATCTCTGGCCGCTAGTCATTTGTTTGGCTCATTTTTGGATTTACTCTGGCGTCTTTCTTTCAAAGATATCCATCTTTTATACCTAATCGTCAAGGTTAATTTGATTTCCATCATTCTGGTACGCTTTGACCCTCATAAGCATGTTTAAATATAACTGGTCCAGCCTATTTCTAGATTTTATTTTTATACTATTCACTGCGCTGAATCCACGTTCTGGTTCTGGTAGTGATCGTTGCTGCATCCATGTACTGGCATCTGTGCAACGGTTGGGGGTATGATGTTGCTATTCTAAAAGCTCCTAGCTGTTGCCAGGACGTTCAAAGTCAGCGCTTGATGCAATAAATGTAGCAAAAATATCCCACAGAATGGCGATGTCGCGAATTGCTCCTCATTTATTACAATTGAACCATCTCCTCAAAAGTCTGCATCACTCCACATTTCATTTTTTCTGCAAGCACAAACCTGAAATTACGATACTGATCCTTAACTTTCAGAATGTCATCATAGTTTCCCTAGGGATGCTACATATCTAGAAACCAGTGCTGCAAGTTCTTCTTGGCCAAAATTAAAATCTGAAGTGTCGATTAACGCTGATATCTCAAAGATTCGCATTGCATCAACTCACTTTCAGGGAAACGAGAGCCCAGGCACAAACATCATTTGCATATAATTCATCAACCTCTTAGTGCACACTTTCACCAAGGTACTGGGCACGGAGCTTAGCGATCCTTGCCTTTACAAACTGTTATGTCTCGATGGTCTTTAGATTTTTTTCTATGTAGCAGCTGGTATAATTCATTAAGTTTAACAAAAACTTCTTCAAAGACAATCAGTGCAGTTCAAAACTGCGGATCTCTTAGTGTCTTCAAACAGTCCTTATGAATTACTGTTTCATTATACAGGCCCACCTGCTCCCTGTAGTTTCCAGTCAACTCTTGATTGTTTCTTAGCAATGCTCGTAAGGCAAAGTGCTGCTAAAGCCATCATTCAATGGTCTAAAGACTACAACTTAGCTAGTTCGGTAAACTGGGCTTTTCGTACTGTCGACCTACTGAGCAATGTGTACACTGTCCTAGGGAATGTTTCAATGTCTGCTACTAAACTTATATGTTTGCAAGCATCATCGATGCCTAAATCTTCACGCTGAGTAATGCAATGTTGTTCCAATAGAAGTGGAAAACGTCGGCGAAGAATAGCTGCAACTCCATAGTCCTTGCCTCGCATAACTGATGCACCACGAGAGATAAACATAACCATTTTCTGCATGTCCAATGAATTATCTTGATAAAACTCTGTTATTATTGATTCCACATATTTACTTTCACACGCCGCCAAAGACAAAATTACAACAAAAAGTCTTGTAAACCTTACCGGGCTATGGCCGAAACTTTGAGTTTAAGGTGAACATTTGTGTCAGCGATGTCTCAGTGCTCTCATCTAGTGTTCATGTGCGGAACTTTGCATTGCGACGTTTGCTAGTTATAGCATCCTTTACTAAAGAATCGACAGAATCAACAAACTCAAAAGCGCAATTCTTACTTTGTCAGCTATCAGGGACTGGAGCATCCTTAACCATTGGGTTGTGTATGTATTGAACCGCATTCATAGATGTGTTCATGTTGATAGCCAAGAGAACGTTGTCAATGAAAATGTTAACCTGGTCATCTTTAACACTTTTAAGTTGTACGTCTTGTCTCAAATTTCCAGCACGGACACTCAAAGCTATTGCACGGCGTCTGTAGTATAACTGCGCGGACGCGCAACCGCGCATCTTAAAGGGAACATTGATGCCTTTAACCGATTACAATTAGTGGAATCTATCAAATATCACTAAGCTTGATATATTTGATAATCCGTATACATAAGGCTATTTAAGTATTCGGTTATAAAAATCGCAC